TTTAGAGCACAAACGCACAAATAAACAAACAATCAACATTGTATGACTAAATTGAATTATGTAGTGCATTTTATTCTTGCTATGTCAATTTGTTCATCCAGCTCCTCAAGCTCATCGTCAAGGCGTCGTCGCTTGTTCACTTTTCTGGCTTTTTTTACGAGCATTTCAGCTAGTCGGTCCTCGGTGAACCTATAAATTATGTTGAATTAGCACAGAATATCACCAACCATTATCTTTTCCAGAAGCCCCAATAAGAATGAAATATTATCTTCATGCAAAAGAATCAAATACCTTTTGCCTAGAGATGACGCCGCAGCAGAGCTGGGAGCAGCCGAAGGTGGTGGCTGTGGTTGTCCTTGGAGGGATGATGACGCCGCAGCAGAGCTGGGAGCTGAAAAGTTCACTCTTCATGACGACAAACAACGACTTCGCCGTTCTCCATCGCGGGCAGCACATCAACCTCGCGCAAACCAAACATAGAGTTATGATGCCCTTGGTATGTGTTGTAAAACACTGAAGCATTGACTTGGGTGGCGAAGTGAATATAGCAATAACTATATAGGATACGTTAGTATGCCACTTAATAAAATTACATAAACTCTGAGTCAAACATACTCTGCGTCTATGTGCTTTACTGCTGTTTTTAAACCTGGCAGCTTGCTGTTTCTCATGATGGTGTTATATAGCTCGATGCCGTCAAGTTGTTGTAAAGCGCGACTCTTGAGCCGCACTTGGCAGTTTTAGGGTCGTAGCATTTTTTGGAAGAAAGAAACCACGAACAATTGAGCGGGTCGTGGAAAAGGGAGTTTTTGCATCAGCTCAAAGATGAAGTCGAAAAAAAAAAGAAAAAACGATTACGTCCACTGGTATTTATACAGTAACTTAAAGCCAATCAATCACACAGAACGAACACGTCAGAGAATTATTGAACAAACACGTCAACCCTTCGTCAATGTTTTCCCGTACTAGGGTGCAGCGGGAAGCAATTGCAGAAAATTCATGCATCGGGAACTTGCCTTCCCACGAGTCCTGTCAGACTCTTACTCCTTCCCCTTCATTCTTTCTCCATTCATGACACATAAGCAACTGGTTATTAAAAGGAAGAGCTGGTCTTTAGCTTTAACATGAGACTAATATTATGTACAGTTACGACGTTAAATTGTGGCGGAATATCGCTTTGGAAATTGCCTAGTCTTAAAAAGACGATGCCAGGTTCCCCTTCACCGTGTCTAGAACTTGTTTCTCGAACAATCAAATCTGAAGCATGCAGGTGGCTCGTGTCAGTTGCGACAGTGCCCTCTTCTTCCTTCCTTTTCAAATAAACTGACTATGTTCATCATTCAGCAAAAAAAAAACTCATGTAGAGCAGAGCCGTGGCTATAGAATGATACCAATATTGATACACGCCAAATGATATACGGCGACACTATATCTAATAATGTAAAATGATCAATGATAAACGATCGTTTTTCTACTGCACTGTTGACTGAAACATGCATTGTGCTCTTTCTTAGTGTTGACCTCATCGCCTATGCGCTCGTTTGGCCATTGGACAACAGACAAATCACGCAACTTTCCAAGAATCTATCATAACCGATTGTTCCATTTATTCACGAACGAATCTCATATATGTACTGTATCGGAAATTATAATACAGCTAGTAGATGGAGCTGAAGAAAGACATTGACGGACAATGCTAGCACGTTAATGAAGGGCGAGTATTGGAATAAAGAGCAGGCGACGTCGTTGACAGCGGTAATGAATTGCATGTCTAATGGAATGAAAAGAACGGTGGTGGTTGTGCATAGTATGGTAGTAACAATTGGTGGTGGCAGTGGAACGTATCGTAATTTCAGGCTCCGGTGCTGCAAGGACAGGTTGAGCAGCGGCCTCGTGATCAAGTGCGTCTTCAGCAGCCAAGCAGCAATCCGTAAGACGACGTGATTGGAAAGACAACGACACCGGAGTGGATGATGATTGCGACACAGTTCACAGATACAAGGAAAACCTGAGCATAGACATCACCAAAGACGCAGGAAATCGGCTACGAGCTAGCTGGACGATGCTGGAGATGCCAAAGGCCGCATGCAGGGAGCGTGCACAATGCGGCACACAGAAGTTGAATGATGAGCGGGGACAACAGCAGGAAATACAGCAAGATCACGACTGCGGTAGACATGGGTAACGGATAGAAACTCGTGAACGGGCTTGAGCACAAAAATTTCAATGACACTGTAAACCACAAAATCTGCCGGTTTCTATGCAGTGTGATGTGTTAAGATATCATACGCTTTAGTCTCGGTGCTGTGTATATTACTTGTAGGCACCGATGGGGAATGGATACAAACATGAGAAGTATATAATATACATTGGCTGCGCTTGCCAAATGTAAAAGCTGGAACTATGATAGCGAGGATTACGACCATTTATCCATGTACTCTTGCCAACACCTGCGGACGATTTAATTTTCTCCAAGGACCAATAGCGTCCGCGTAGACCATTTGCATTCATGTGAGGGTTGTATTAACTGATGTGTGTACAGCTACCACCGCCTATTCAGCCTATCCGGAACAACCACCTACGTGTCCCTCAAGTTAATATATAAAGTTATTGTCCCGTACATACAGCCATAAACTATGATCTATATTCTTTGTGCACTTGTTTTAAAACATATCTTTATATATGTATGTGTCTAATGCGCGGTATTAAATCGCAAGATTACATGGAGGAGAAGCGAAAGAATCAACTTTAAATTAATGTTGGACTTTTAGTAGGATTTCATATGTGGCGGAATACATAACACACATTGCTTGTTTGTTCATGATAATGGGTTCTTTGTAGCAGTGTATATACTATCTTTACGATTTTTTGCGCCCAAAGCCAGCACAAAAAACAGTTATTATAGTAACAACATCCAGTACATCCAAAAGGCCAGGCTATTCGTCGAAAATAAAGAAAAGCCGAAGCGATTCCGTTCATGCACATCAGCCTACCGGGGCCTGCAGAGGTAAGTTGTACGTAGATCAAGTAGTTTTTCAGAAATATTCAATTCCGTTACTACCAATGCAGTTAATTTAGATGATAGTGGTACCGGCATGACGACAACGTTGGCCACATGTGGTGTATTACAGTAGTCTTTGCCCTACTGGGTTGCTGCAGTCGTAGTTGTTCGCAAAGTTGGTCTCAGAGCGCATTCCTTGGGTGTACTTTTATGAAGGTACAGTAGCACTAGAGTGAATCACTCTTCTATATTTCGCAAGTACATACTTCTTTTGTTTTAGGAGGAAGGTTGCGATGATGGCAAAAAGGATTTGGAAGAAACATGTTTATTTTTTATGGTAATATAAGCTTCTAGTAGTAAAATTATAATTAAAGAATCGTGCATTCCTACAAATGTTAGTAAGCTTTTGTCCGTGGTAACGATAGCCCTCTGATTTTTTTCTCTCTGTTTTTTTTTCTTCTATAATTTTTTCTTCAACTACATAATATTCTGATTTATGGGATTCGTCTGTGGCAATTTTTATGGTCTTTTTCGTCTTGATAATTGTCGTCTTCAGTAGCCTGAGGTGCGTGATATCTGTGTGATTTGCTTGTTGATATCTTCGGTCCTTTTTGGTGTGTTCTCATGTCGTGTTATTCTTGCATTTGATTATGTATGTCGAACTGTTTTCTTGTTTCTTCTTTTTTTCTTTTTTTTTTTCGCGCAGCCTTCGCTAAATGCTCTGTTGTCTTGAGCTCGACGCGAATGATATGGAGGCCGTTGAAGGCGATAATAGACTGAGCTTGTGACTTTGTATCGATGATGATCCTCAGCGCTGTATTTTGTCTCTAAATATCGATAAGCCTTTCACGTTAGTTATCAATGTCTTCATCTAAAGTGAATCCGTGTGCCTTGTTTGTACTTACTGTTGATTAATTTCACTTTATAATTGCCCAAGTCTTGCTTTTCAGTCTGGTATTGAATCGACTGCAATTTGATATCGCTTGGTTTGTTTTGTATGTGATGCTGTGTGTCTTGTGTAGACTTCATCTTTTCTTCGCTGATTTCTTTCCAAGAGATTGTCTTGTATAGATTGCTGCTGTTGTTGTATGTGTTAGCTTTTGAAGCGATGTTGATCGGGTATGTAGTGCCGTTGTAAGCAAACTTGCTTAGGGTGATAAGACAGCCACCGACTTGTTGACGTTTTCCTGGTGCCGTATTGTACGAAAGGCAGTGATGATTTTTTTTCTTGACATTTGTTTCTGTCTTTTTGTTGCCTTGAATTTCGCTACTTTTGCTTTCCGTCGTCACAGACCGCGTGATGCTTGGTGTTGTTTTTACATTCTCTCTAATCTACTACTAATCTAATTCCTGATTTCTTTTCTTTTCTTTTTTCTTTTTTTTCTTCTTTTTTTTACTCGTATTTTGGGGGGCTATCGTTACCTGGACCGTAACTTACCAACGCTTTGTCAGAAGAGATTTCCTGGGTAGAATATATCAAATGTTGTTGCATGAATAGCGGCGTTCACTAATGATATGATTGTAGCAAAGTCACAATGAGCAGATAATTTTACAAAAGCATGAATAGTCAATTGTTTCTCTTGGTTTTGCTTCTTACCATGATGCTTCTTCTGTTTCGATTTCCAAGGTAGTAGGACCATGTAATTGTACCGTCTCTATATCTTTCAATGTCTGTTCTTGTAGCCACCTCCCTTGTTTGCTGCGTGCCATCCATTGATTTGTCATGGATACACATGCGCGATTCCTTCCTTAAAGTAGCATCATCGAGTAGTCATGTCGCCCACCGCTTTTACTAAAAGATTAATCGATCAAAAATACACGTATCAATGCTAATGGCTTCATATTTCCCGCTCCAATTTCATATACGGAAGTTCAGATTACCTCAAAAGTTCTCTCCTTCTAACGGTCAACCTGCTGCCATAAACAATATGTGTGTGCGAATGTCAATAATGCGCAGTTCTTGAATACATGTCCCGTGCGACAGGAGCCATTGACCAAATCTCTCGTCGAGTAGCGTTTATCGGTTGTGCGATCAGTGTCTTCAACGTGTGCTCGCCAGCATGAATTCGAAAGTCGGATACGGATAGTGCCGCCATTATTGCGTCTACGCAATGCCGTCGGGTCCCTCTGACAATAATGTGACCCTTGTTGATAGTGACCTTTAGACGCAGTGTTTTGCTTGATGCGACTTGGACAGGTGTGCTTCTCGTCCCTTCTTTTGTCCCCATTGCTGCTTCACCACTAAAGCAGAAATGAAACCGCCACGATAATATGATACTGCTCCATCCAATAGCCGTGTCCCGTGTGCATCGTTGTCCTTGATATTCTTTGCCCGCCCATGCCGATGACTTTGCTTGTTGTTTTCATGCGAAATTTACAGATTGTTCGCCACCTTTTCCCCCCTAAGAAGAATTTAAATGTAAGTATCATATTTTGTCCGACTTGATATTGTTAAGATAGAACTTACTAAATGCTTTGCATCCACCTAGCGTTTGACATGTTTTCATTAAATATGTCTCCTCGTATCTTGTCGCCAATTCTTCCCGTAATGCAATTTGGATTATGGCGCCATCATGAAGAACGCCGTTCACCAGGGACTGAATTTTGTTCATCATGGGTAGATGCATCAGGGTTACGATGTGATATCCCTTTGTCCAGTGTCAAACAGTCGTATGTGTGGCGCTTTGTAGATGCTTTGTTGCCAGTTTTGATTGCCATATCAGAGGATGTGTTGCATTGCCACCGTGCTTCATTGCCGCAATAACCTTCTGTGCTTGGTTGCTACCACACCCATTTGCTCCAATGATTCTTGGTAGATTTTTCTTTGTCGCCAAGAAGAGTTGCCACCTTGTAGATAGAATGTTGTTGAGGCAGCTTGAACAGTTGCCATGCGTGCTGCTATCCAGTTTTTACTGTTTGTCTTTTGCGCTCAATTGCCACCATAGGAGAAGTCGCCAGTCTTTCTGCTTTGGTGCCGTTTGATAGAAATGATGAAGACGCATTCGAATGGCCGTCCAATGCCCGATGTTGTCCCCATACAGTATTGAAAGCTGACAATGCCAATCTCGTCTTTTTGTCGCCATGCTGCTGTTTCCACAAGTCTCCTCGTCGTAAACTGAGATAGATGAGGATTGTTTTCATCTCCTTGACTTGACGTTGACTGATTTGAATAGTTGTAATGAGTGTTGCCGTCACATTACACCTTGTGATTCTGAACGGATTGAATTGTCGTATGCATTGTTGCAGTTTTTGTCGCTGAAGTATCTTGCTCCATGTGGCCACCATAGGTAGCGATGGACACTGTTTGTCGATACGATGTTTGCCGCTGCTCCTTTTGTTGCCGCTTTCTCTTTGGGGTTTCACCACAAAAGTAGGGATGGTTAATGATGATGATGATCGTGCCGTTGATTTTAAACCATCCCGCATATTTGCCCGCATGCTTGGTGACTTGATCCGTCTATGGCCACACAGTTTGAAATTTTTGACCAGCTTGAAATGTTTGATCAGCTTGCATATTCCTCGTAAAGATGTGCGATAAGTGATTCATTGCTGCTGCGCCTGAGTATGACTCGCCCATAAGTTATATGTCGCCTTTTCCGCCTGTCACTTGTTCGTGCGCTGAAAACAGTTGATGCCAAAGGCTGTCCACCGAGACTTGCACTTGGTCCGCCTATGGACGTGTTAAATGCATGCAATTTTCCGCCCAGAAGGGGAAGTGCCTTATTGGATCACTTGAGAACAGATATCCGCACCCGCTTGAAGAGCCCTTGTCGCCATAGCATTACCAGTAGACAATAAACTTGCTCCTTCCACACTGGGAATATTCAATCCGAGTTAGAACGTCGAATGTAGTTGTTGCCTGGACCAACGGAAAGAAAACCAGAGGATGCCAACGATTGGATAATGCTGATCGATCTTGATAGTCTATCGCCAAAAGACTGGTCAAGCCAAAGACGGGATTCTGCGAATCCTTGATTCAATGCCAAGTAGGAGGGGTTTGTAATGTTTGCTCGGCTATCCTGGAAATCTGACGCCACCTGTAGTAGCATAACCATCATGGATCATCCACCAAGACCACACGAGACGACGTGATCAAGCCAAAGACGGGATTCTCACAACACCCCGAATTTTTACTCGGCTAGCCTGGAAAGCTGACGCTCTCCATCGCGGCGTACCACCCACACCGCTGGCCTGACACCCCAACCCGGACACCCCAGCTTCACGGAATCCGGAGGCAAAGGTGAAGGCTGAGGCTGGACTAATATGGCTGTGACACTGACTACAACCGGTGGAGGATCCAGGGTATGGAAAGGGCGAGGACAACTCCGGTTGAGCTTTCGGTGGCAGGGATTGGGTGAGCAACATTGCTCCGGTTGGCCAGGGCTTACGCAGGAACACCATCCACATGAGCTGGAACTGACTGGAATGACAGCCGTGGGAAAGGAATAGATTCCTAATATTGGGCTCCTCTTCGCCTTCTTCACACCACATCCATGTCGAATGCGATCCGAAGAAGGGAAGAAGGAAAGGAAAAGGGATATATCAGTTAGCAAGCCTCTTCTTATCAAAATGGCCGTAGGTATTAAAGAAAGCATAGTATGTACCATAATCATACAAGCATGACACCTTGGGTTGTCATTTGCTGTCAAGAACCTCCGCTGTACATGTGCCTCGATGGTGGATTCCTACTGCCTACACAACCAGAGCATTGCTCACCTTCCCACCACCGGCTCAACCGGAGTTGTCCCCATGTGCCCCCCCAACCCCTTCACCCCCGGTGGCTGCAGCCAGTGCCGGCGCCAATGCCAACCCCAGCCGCCTTTACCTCAAGAAACCATCCACTGAGATGTCCGGGCCGCACCCCATCGCCTGACGAAGGCGGAGACCGCCAGACACACACCCAAAACACGCCGCATGCGCTCTATTTGAAATGAAAACAATAAACTCATCAGCATCAGTACGTTATGCATCTCGCTCAAGCTTAATGCTGAGACACTTACAACCAAGCGCACACGCGCAACCACAAACATCGCCTGACGCAGGCGCACACGACAACGCCAAGCACGGCACCAGAGGAAAAGGAAAAAAACACGCGGAAAAGAGGAGACAGCGACACAAACAGGCGGATTCAAAGTGGGCGACACCAGGAAAGGGAAAGGGGAGAGACCAAAGGAACGGAGAGAAACAAGCACACAGACAGAACAAATGCCTAGAGAAGGCCATCTAAAAAGGACATTGCAATTAGCATCAATCTGGGGCAATACGAAAGCACTCGACAGCGAAATAAAAGAGGATGTAGCCACTTACACGCCGACAAGACCTGCTCCATCTCGGAGACTCGGTCGATGTCTCCACGAGCAGCCTGCAGCAGACCAGCGAAGAGCGCCTCATCGTCGCCAGTCTCGAGGAGACGCTGCAACTCCTCATACTCGTCCAACGTGACACCCAAGTGTGCTGCCATCACTGCAGCAAACTGTGCACCTTCTTCATCATCTTTCCTTCTTCTTCTTCGTCGTCACCTTCTTCGTCGTCGTCGTCGTCTTCGTCTTCGTCATCATCTTCTTCTTCGTCGTCTTCCTCGGTGCGCACGTCGTACTCTTCTTCTCTTTCTTCGGTATCTTCTTCCATGCTCTCCGGGCCACAAACGACAGGAACGTGAGCCATTGGCTCCGGCGCGACGACGGACATGGGGGTGTTTGCGGAGGCGAAAGTGGTGAATGCAGCGATATGGCAGGAAGAGACGGAAGGGAAGAATAGCTGCAAGGTGTTGCGCTGGCGGATGTGGCGGTGGTGGCGGCGACGGGTGGAGCTGAGGAGGTGCGCAGAAGGATAGGGACGGGAACGGACTTGTTGATGAGGACGGTGGTGGCGGTGGGTTGAAGGAGCGACTGCGGGGACGAACGGAACGGAAGGAGCGAACAGCGGCAAGTAGTGGTGGTGACGGTGACGGTGGCGGATTTCACGGTGGCGGGTGTGATGACGAGGTGCGCGGAAGGATGCAAGGACTGTGTGGTTGCGGCGGTGATGGTGGTGGTGTCGATGATGGGGTGTTGTTGGCGGCGGCGTTGATGGCGGCGGTGTTGACGAGAGAGACAGGAACAGGAACAGGAACAGGAGCAGAAACAGAAACAGGAGCAGAAGGAACGGACGGGGCAACGAGCGGCAAGTAATGGTGACGGTGGTGGCGGATTTGATGATCCCGGTGGTGGTGGTGGTGAGGAGCGCGGAACGAAGAAGAAACCGGGTGTTGGCGACGGAGGTGTTGATGATGGCGGTGACGGGGCTGGCGGCGAACGGAGCGCACAGAAACAACAGGCACAGAGGCCTGTTCGTCAAGCGAGCCAACCACACCATGGTCCTCAGCAGCAAAATCACCTGCTACTGGCAGCTGCGATGGGAGCTGGTCCAAGGACGCGGAAGAAGGCAACGTCACTGGGGACGGATTACGCACAACTTGGTCAATGGGAGCCTCATCGACAACTGCAAATGAGGGGACGTCGATGCCGTTAGGCACAGCAGGGAGGATATCGACCGCAGGTGGCAACGAAGGCGAGACTGGAAGGCTGGCGTCAGCACCCGAAGGCTGGGCATCATTCTTACGAAGAGCCATTGACTGCACACTCAACTCATCCAGCTGCACAACGTGCACGGGAGCAGGAACAACCACTGCAGGAGCCGCCACTACAGCAAGCTCTCGAGCGCCGGCCTCATTCAGGCCCATGGCGGGACGCGTCTCACGGCAACGGTATTCGCCCAAAGGCAGAAACAAACTGAATGTCGCGGGCAGCAACAACGACAGAAAACCGGACGACGCAGACAAGGACGGCAGCAGCAGGAAAGAAAAAAAGGGAAATGTCGCGGCAATTAGCCAACGACAGGCGATATACGCTAAAGCGATCGGGTACATCAGCAGTGCACACAGGGCATAAGACAAGGGCTTATCGGTTTCTGACATTTTGGAATGTAGATGCTGGTAAAGAAGAAAAAAAGGAGAGCTGGAAACTACCCTTTTTTTATTGTCATGAAAATTTTAAAGGCCGTGACGTCACGCGTTTTTTTCTTTTTATCGCACACAGTGCCTTCTCTGTAGAAGCATGTGAGAGCAGTAAAGCGCACTAGTAGTAACGCGTAGGAAGATGCTAAGATAGCCTCTTTTTTTTGCTGCGACGTCGCTATGGTTGCGTGCTGTTTCCATGGCTGCATATATGTTTCACATTTGCGCTGCTCCGCTTGTACGTTCTAGGCACACCCGTGTCATTTTCTTTTTTCGCCATGGCCAGTGCGTCTACAGCAAAATGACTCAATATCGGGTGATTATCAAAAATTAAGATTTTATGTTACTGGTTTATGGTGCTATGATACTAACTTTTGATTTCATTGACTAGACTCCTTAACGACTCAATGTTTATTGGATTTAAAAAAACATATAATCACCGAAGTATCATGCATATCATATTATAGAAAATTCAAGGATAGCGACACAAGTGAAGCTCCTACCAATTGCCCATGAACTGCATAAGTACATATTTCCTTCCTGATTCGTTTCAAAAGAGAGATTTCACCTATTGCTTTGTATGTGTAAAGATAGTAAGCAGGAGGAAAGGAAGATTACCCCTACACAGTGTTCTTGCTGGCCAGTTCCAGTAACTACAGTACAAGAAGTTATATAAAAGTTCATGCTCTGGATTTTTGCCTCCTTCTACCCCATTACGATGCGCCAAAGGTAGCACATAACTAGCTAAGACTTTTATGGGTTGAATATAAACTTCTTGCTTGTATGCTAGCTGTGGGTGTATAAATGGTGCGGATCGCTGAACACTACTCGATGATGGTTGGGTCATTACTCGTCAATGCAACAACGTCGGAACAGTTTTTATGCTTGTTGATTGTATGTGAAGATAGAGCCGATAGACTGAATAGCTACTGCTATTGCTCATAAGCGGCCTTTCGATGAAGGTGTACAGTGGCCGCTCGCTATGAGTGATATTCGTTATAGTAGCATTTCGATATAATTTAGAGGCCACATCAAATTAAGCTGAGAATTATCACTAATTCGCTATTGCGATATGATATACGATATAAATGTATCGATAGATATATCATAACATCAAGCGGAGCAATATTTATCTATCGAAAAAGGATAAAAAAAGACTAGTTTCTGTACTGTAAAGCATTTTCAGCATCTAGCTTACGCATCTTTTTTTCTAACAAGCATAACACTAAGCTAAGGGTTCAGGACGTCTTCATTCATCGTTGCGTTTAAGAATTCGCTCATATAATAGCTGCTTCTCTCCCTTTTATTGTGTGGTAGCTTATGTGCTTCCTTGTTCTCATACTGTCTTCTCCAAATCTCCTCTTACTGTATTCATTGGAAAACACCTACTGTATCCGTATCAGAAACAAACCTATGATTTTTTATACACAATAACATCAGCCCCTATGCACGTATCGAAAAACTATTGATTGCCAGGTTGCTTATCTTTATGCACAATTGCTGGTTTTTACTGCTTCATGGGAGGTGTAGATTGTCGTTTTGAGTATTATTATTAGGAGTGGCACTCCATCAACGATGCGCTTAGAGCCAAGTGCAATCCTATCAGCTGTAATAAGGCGGGATGACATTGGAAAGATAAAGGGAGTTTATTATGATATCAATAAAACTCATAGTGACAGCACGCGACTGTAGAGCTTCTCCTGATGAGCTCTCCATATACTACCATGGGTAATTTATTTGCCAAACCTCATTAACATAACTACAAAACATCTTGCGGTTGTGTATATGTGTCAGGGCGAACACAAAGTTGAGTTAAATTATCTCTTTTAACAATGCTCGAGTATTAGACTTCACAAGATGATATCAACGCACAGGTTCCTCTACGACGCTCCTCATAATAAATGTCCACCGTCAGCCTTTGAGGGATCACCACCTCACCAAAGCCAAATGAAGGCCGGTGTTGCAATTACAAATACCAGTTGTGAACAGTGCAATCCTTGAAGCCTCAATCCGAGCAGCAGTGTCCTCTCCTTCAAAAACCCAAGTTCATATATCATTAACTTATACGTCAAGGTTCCAACGGATTCGTCTTCTACTACCCGAGCTTGTTATTGCGTTCAATACTTTATATTGTTGACGTCATTGTGATGAAAAAAAGATGCGGAAACCCCGGAATTGGGCGATGCTGGTGGATCAAAAAGATGGTTGCACACAAACCTGCAAAGATCAAACACGCTTTTAGAATGAGTCATTCTTAGATCGAGGGGACAACCAACTAAAAACAAGATCTTTTATGGGCGTCTATTAACATGTATAAATATATCTAAAGCTAAGGTATCGATAGACGTATGTATGCAAAAAAAAGGAAAAAGATGATGCAATAACAATAATGATTAGATTAATAGATAATTAAACGAAAAAGAAAAACTTTTTTAGATTTTCATGACGACCAGCTCTTGTCGTTCGCTGAATGCTTGATGCCATGTCTTGAGTTGTTCGAGAACAACAAAGGTGATGATGGTTTGTGGACCCAATCGGATAAACGCAGGTGTCCAGCCTTTAAAGAATGCGCGCATGCCTTCCATCTTGTACATTTGTCCCATAACCTGTAACGATGATATTTTCCGCTCCTTGCCACTGGCTGCCATAATTCGAGTCTTGATTACGTCTACGGGGGAACACACTGTCGTTGCCACAAGACCCTAATAGACCATCACGAACAACAGCATCAACATCATCATCATCATCATCACGACGTAATTATAGCAATAAATCCAACAAAGCTCTTTTTCCTCCACTCAACCCATTTTTGTATCAGTAACACACGTACCGCCAACACACTTGATGTGAAATGAAGCGTCAGTCCATCTTCTAAAGGCGAATGTCGCAACAACAGGTCTTTAAAGATATCGTAGGAAACGCACTGTGACGAAGTCATGAGGATCGCTCGGTTGACGTTCGGGCCCAATCCTCGAAACAGCGACGATACACCTTCTTCCCTGCTCATCCGAATAATTCCATCCAAAGCGCTCTTGTAGTTTCGACGTTGATGCGGTGGTAATTGACCGTCGTTTTGCATACGTACCTGTCAAAGAGAAAAAGGTGTTTAGTTGTTTCTTCTTTTCCTCCCTTAGGGTCCCAATTGCTTAAAGATAAGCAAGTCATCTTACATTGAGAACATCGGCCGGATTTCCGCACACTCCACCAAGAGCACCAGCAGCACTCGAACAAAACAGCAATTGCCATACAGTAGGGCCTAGTCGTTGACAAACTCAATAAGCCAAAAACGAACTTTTTCCCCCGTAAATGTGTATATACATATATCAATAGCTGAAGCGAACTTACTCTCTGCCTTTGTCAGCAAACCTTGCTTGAGCTTCTCATAAGCACCGAATCGAGCAGTCGAATAAGTCGCTTGTCTCAAAATACTTGCTGACAGTCCAGCATACAGTCGCAAGAATCCCTCATTCCGTGCAATCATGATCATGGTCTTTAACATGCTGACCTTGCCATTGCCCTTCAAGTTTTGCAGGCGGACCTTGGTCAGATCGAGGGGGTGGACCACCATTGCAGCAACACATGACGACACACCACCAAAATAGAACGGAGTCGATCGCTGTGTCGTGGTAGTAGTAGTAGTAGTCATTTGTCTAAAGGCTGGTTTATTTTGGCGAAGGGTAGAAGGTGAGAGAGAGAGAGAGAGAGAGGGGAGGGAGGGGGTTGGAGGAAGGAAAAGCAAAAGGAGAGAGAGACAGGAAAGACGAGTATTAATTATAAGAAGGAGGCGAAAGATTTTCGAGGAAGAAGGGTAATCTATTTCCAGGCACGACGAATATACACTATCATTGTTTGATCCCACATCAAGCAAAATTATGCCTGAAAGACTATAACATTGTGGAATGGTAATAGGGTTCCGGTGGAAAAAAGGTTTTCCGTGAACGCCCGAAGTTTTGCGTTTGCGCTAAATACTGTATGCAAGAGCTGATTTTCAGCAGGCCCGTATCAAATATATCATCGTCGAAGCTTCGGTGCTGGGTCATTTGTCAATTAGAGATCGTCCCTTTTGTCTCCGCACGTACTCTTTTCGTTATTGTTGTTGTTGTTGTTGCCACGAGTCGTTTTAAGATGACTGTGGTTAGTGGTTCCATGTTTGTTTGTGATCAGATCACCTGGGCCTCTCCAATAGAGTTACAATATAGCTCACGTTAATGTTTTACACTATATGAGCAATCGGTGAGTATAATGTGTTTTGCTGTGCCTATCACCCCCCACCCCCTCCTTCTTTTGAATCTCGCATCGATATGCAGGTACCAACAGCAAAGAAGAACGTTCTTTCTGGCCTAATTTTATTATCCGCCGTCGCATTTGCAAAACCATGTCTTCTCACTCGCTACGCTTTACATACTAACAAAAAAGTCGCGTGAGCATCATAATGTACCAATGTTTCGTCTGCGCGTGCTAAGATTCGTCATATTGCGAAGCCCTAAAACGCTGAAACATGAGTAATAAGTTGCTTAGCGACGAATTCGGTAGTATAGCAACCAGGATGATTGCTGGAGAAATTTATACGAAAGATTTTTTAGTAAAGGAGGAAAAGTGGAGCAATGCAGTGTGTGCATGTGCATTCAGGAAATGGCAAAAATAGAACAAGAGGTGCGCTTTCATTTTCATATTTAGCACGGAATCTCTCTCATGTCTTCTTTCTTATGTATCATTGGCTATGATTATGTAAACCATATCATTCCGATGATGATGGTATCAATGCAAGCATTGCAAATGGATATGTAGAGAATGCATTTCTCGATGGTGATGTGTTATAGCGTGCTGTTTTTTTTTTGGCTCCATGTTAATAGTAGCTCTTTAAGCGCCACTTGTCTAATGATACATATCAGTGTGCTTTATGATAGGATAGGAAGGCAGGTACTGACGAATGTTTGCTTTTTCGCTAGATGATCAATCTCATGGACGAAGAAAGGGAGCACAACAGCTGAGCTACTATATAGGCACGATATCCAATACTGTACAGTATCGTGCTATATATGCAGTGTGGCGTTTATAGTGTCGTTGCTGGTCCCGCTCTTTTGCTGCACGGAATTTATACGATATAGTTATGATGAAAGAACAACACCCTTATTTATATACCTTCAATCGAGCAGATTATAAAGGGGAGTTCACAATCAGACTCCTTGTTTTATGATCGGAATTAACCCTCTGTAGTGAATGGGGTTCCTTGTATCTTTCTTATAGCAGTGGTTTGTGGATGATGCAGGAAACATTTGTTGTTGTGTCTGACGGCAATAAGGGCCGATAACAACTGCGGGAACAGTGGCTCTTGAGTAGTAAAGCAGCAGCTGGCATATACCCGCTGTACTACTTGCAGTTGGAGCTTGACGGCGAGAGAGAAGATATATATATACCCCATTTCTGACGCCCGGACCAGGTGTGGGGTGGGCGGAAAAACAGTTTTCCTTGTCCGAACCAGATTATGCGACGTGTGTCGGCTACTAGAGACCTCAGTTTTGACATATGGGCAAATCAAAAAAAGAAAAATAGAAATGTTTCGCTCTCTGTCTCTACCCTCCCTTTTATTCCTTTCCCCCCCCCCTATTTCTTATTTCCTCATAAGTATCAATGAGCACATCCACAAGCACCATTACACGATCGACGCCGTTTTATTTTGGTGGTGTGTCGTCATGCATAGCGGCCATTACGGTCCATCCACTCGACTTGACCAAAGTACGACTGCAGACAATGACAGGCAATGACAAGGTCGGCATGTTGAAAACCATGCTGTCCATTGTTCGGAACGAAGGTCCTTTACGTTTATACGCTGGTCTGTCGGCCAGTATATTTCGACAGGCTACGTATGCAACCGTGCGACTTGGCGTATATGAAAAACTTAAACAGCACATGCTGACAAAGACTGAGAGTAGAGATTTCTCACACAATTTTTTTTTCCATGTTGAGAGATGGAAGGGTCGCTAGTGTCAGTTTATTAAAGATACTGACTGTCATTTTTGGTTTGTTTTGAAATAATAGAACCAAAAGTATGGCAATTGCTTTTGTGCTCGACTACTGCTGGTGCTTTAGGTGGGGCATGCGGTACACCGGGTGATATTGTTAATGTAATAACGCATGTCGATCGATCATCATACCAAAGTGTCTGTTGGGTGTGTGTGTGCGCATGGAAAGGACTAACTTGTGAAAGGGAAATCGATAATATACTAGGTTCGTATGCAGAACGACGGCCAATTGCCTTTAGTTCAAAGACGCAATTACAAAAACGCCGTGGATGGGCTTCTCCGGATCAGTCGCGAGGAGGGTGTGTCATCATTATTTCGAGGCCTAGGTCCCAATGTGAGCCGGGCTATTCTTGTCACATCGGCTCAATGCGTATCTTACGATTTGTTTAAGGATCTTTTGGCTCGACACTCGCCAATGAAGGATGGAATGTCGCTGCATTTTACCGCTAGCGTACTGGCTGTATGTATCATGTAATGGTTTTATTTGTGGGAGGAGTAGATTTGTTTTTTACATATTGGGACTATTCAGATTCTTATACTAATGATATTCTTTTTTTTTTTTTGAATGTCTCAAGGGTCTAGCAGCAACGACAGCATGCTCACCAGCAGATGTCGTCAAGACACGCATCATGTCGACTAGTGCCAAGGACGGCAAAGTATCGTCGCTTTCGGTTGTGGCACAAATGTACAGGACTGAAGGATTAAGGTCTTTTTTCAAAGGTTGGACACCGGCCTTTATACGGTTGGGACCACAGACCATTATTACCTTTGTTGTCCTAGAGCAGTTGAAAACTTGGTATCAGTCATTCCATCACGATAGACCGCTAGTTGCTGCAAAGATTTAAACTACGCTATTTATAACAGCAGCAGCAAGCCTACTATATACACCAGTATAAACCCCACTTTTTCCAATGTTCCTCGTTATTTACGCTTTACTATTACTACTTCTACTATTACTACTGCTATTTCTGTACATAGGTCTCTGTCGCCTGATTAATACATGTCTTTTTCCATCTTTTGTTTCACATACTGACTGCCTGTCAAACTGAGTCATCCTTGCATTATTGTATGCATTGCTTTTTACTTGGAATCTCCGTGACATCCTGTTTCTTTCAGATCAAAGCCTTCGTTTGTTGTTCCTAGTCATCCGAGTCTTAGTCATTCCAAAATAATAGTCAGCCAGTATTTCAATGATGATGATACCATCAAGCGGATAGAAACTTTGGTGCACGTATCAACAACATCATATCATGGAAAGTCGCTGGTGCAATACATAAAAGACGAAAGTAATTGTTTTTGAATGCTTATCAAAACAACTCCAGTAAAACATTCGCTCACATATAGCTGATACGGTAGAGAGGTCATTCAACTATATATCCATATTATTATATTAAATCCACAAAAAGATAGCAGCATTAGTTGTTGCTGCTACTCAAACGCATGTATCATAGCAGTCAACAGCTAGTGTGCTGACATGGCAATAATAATTAGTAGCTTACATACTGATTAGAACAGCAGGTTAAGTACCACCACCTTTCTAGAATAACCTTGAATTATTGCCTTAGTAACCGGAAAGAAGATTACCGATCACCACATCTATATCAATCTAAATTAGAACTCTGTTAGGACAGGACACCAATTCTATGTTTTTGCATTTGCATGTAACGCAACTGTAGCAAGATGTGTGGCCTTGGTATGTATATAGAAAGTTTGAATCAACTATTTAGAAAAACTGCCCACATGTATATGCTTTGCTTATACATTTATATGACAGCGCTGCTGTATGTAGATAGTATCATCAGAGGTGATAGGAAGAATAAGCTAGACCGCGCAAATAGTTAAATGGATCGCATGACCAAGATAGATTGTGCGTAAAATGAAGCTGCTGGATGCAATCACAAAATTCAATACCCGACTGGTTAAAAGTGATCGACGCACTCGACCTTTGCCTTATTAGTCAAGGAATAGGAAGAAAATAAGGGGGGGGGCGGACAAGATGCTGGCGCAAGAAGATTAATAAGGTGGTAGAAAAAAAGAGGTGGATGTGTTGTCACTCTTAAGAAGAAGAAAGAAAAAAGTACTATGCGCTCTAAAGAACAGGAGGCCTTATTGTGATTGTTGGTGATACAGTCTGTTACACCGTTCATCTCTTACTCTCTCCTTGTCTCTTGGAGGAGGATGTAAGTTGCTGACAAAAGGTCGTCTTCTTCCAAAGGAGGACACAAAATAGAGATTTTTCAATCGTCAGGGCAAGAGCTTCTTGGCAATGTTCCAGAAATAATGAACTGCATGGTACTCGTATCAACGCCATATCGTTTATGACTTGAGTCAGGCTTGCTCTCCTTACATAGCAAAAGACGCACAAAAAAAAAGCTTAATAAGAGTACCGTCATCCACATACACGCCAGTGCTTCGTTGTCCTGGCAACTGTATCCTGTGGACATCGACCCGTCACTTGGAAGAACAAAGAAGTAAACATTTCACTCAATTAAGAGGGAAAGGGTAAAGTCTCTCTTTCTCTTCTTTACAATCAATGATTGTTTTCTCTCTCTTTCTTCTTTTTTTTTTTTGGGAGTATTTCCAAATCTTTTTTTGCTCGGGGTTTGTTAGCCAGCGATTCAGAAATCATCCACTGAGCGGAAACTGGCGAAAAAACTCATAAAAAATTGAAGAGAGCGACTATTTTTTTTTGTTTTCCTTCTGGTTCAGTACACTTTGACCTTAACGTCTTCCCCCCCTTCTTCTCTTCACCCTTCTCGCAAAACGGAAACAACAAGGTGTTACTGATTAGGAGCCTTTCTCACACACCCTTTTTTTTTGAGAGAGTGAAAAAAGAAGAACGGCATCATTGCAATTCACACCAGTTGACTTTGGTACGTACGGATGGAGAGATGCGTGAGAGGGTTTGTGTGTATATGTGTGTGGAGGGATGAGTGTGACGAGAGGGGAGAAGGAATCATGATGACATACATGGAAGGTGGTGATCGCGCGCGTTTTTTTATTTTTGGATAAACAGGTGTGGTCTTGATCAAACCTTCCAATTGGCGGGTGGGTGAGGTGAAGGGCGGGGGGGGGGTTATAGAGTGGTGAAAGAGAAGAGAAGAGGGAATGCGAAGCAAAAGAGAGATCGTAACAAGAGAGGGCGGGCCCTGGAATGCAAGTGGCATAAGAAGAGAAAGAGAGGTGGTTTTTTTGACTTTCTGCTGTCGCTCATGGGGGATGCAGAGCAAGAAAGCGGAGCGGAGCATTGGTGGGGCAGGGGTGGTGGAACATGAAGACAGAAGAAGAAGAAGAGAAAGTCGAATGGTGTTCATTCGAGAATGGGAGTGGCATGTGTGTGCCCCAAATCAACAACGACAAAAAAAAAAAAAACATCGCTGACATGTTATTTTTTCTTTTATTTTGGGTCTATTATAGAGGAAACCGTTTTATTCCCGCAACCAGCGTAAGAGCTGCCCCTCTTTGGTCCTCCTCCACCCACCCCCTTGTGCGCGCGCCTCTTACGAAAAAAAATAAACCAGAAACAGCATCGAAGGCCAACAAGTGAAAAAGAACTGCGGGCCGGCTCTCTCGTTTTCCAATTTATATACACAACACAAACACGGCAACTGCAAGCCTTTCTATTCTTGTGATAAGCACTGAACGGGCATATACATTGCTCTCAGTACAGCCAACACAGAGCATTTCTCCAATACGAAAAAACGCCCACTCCCATTTTCTATCGTTTTCCTCGCATCAATCAAGTAACTATGGCCCATCCACAAGACATGTATCAAAAGTTCGTGCCGTCGCCTGGTTACCAAATGACAGGCACTGACCAACAAGCGCCAATGCAACAACAACAGCAACAGATGCCGCAACAGCAACATCCAGGTCTTGGAAACATGCAACCTGGCTACTCGCCTGTCGATGCTTCTGGATATCCAATCCAAATGTATCATCCACAAGCATATCCACAGCAACAGCAGCAACAGCAACAACCCCATCCTCAGCAGGCATCGCCCCACATGAACTATGGCAGCGGCGGCGGCGTCCCTCCACAGGGTATGGGCTACATTTCAAACCAGCAGCAGCAGTTCCAGTCACCGCCCAGTCATATCCAATATCAAAGACCACCCACACCTACACAGCAGCAGCAGCATGGATATCCTGCAGCTGCAATGAACCATCCTGGTATGATGTACAATAATCCTGCTGCCATGATGTCGCCACAAGGCATGCCATCAGCACCACAGGGGATGCCACCACAGGGAATGCGTCCAATGGGTGCAGGAACACCACCATCAGCAGCAGCAGCAGGCAATCCACAGTTCATTAATACCTTTTCTCGACCTTCAAATGGTTATCATCCAATGGCTACCGCTGGTGGTGGTGGTGGTGGTGGTGGTGCTGGCGGTGGGCCTATGCCAATGAATGCCTATCCTCCTCAACACATCCCACAACAGCAATCCCTTCCTCCCCAACAACAACGACAATTCATTCCAGCACAAAACGTCCCTCAACAACATCAATTCCAAATTTCACAACAGCAACAATACCACCATCAACAACAATTGTACCAACAACAACAGCAGCAACGTCAACAACAACCAAGAGCAGCAGCAGCAGCCAGACCCAAACGTCCAACGCGAAATGTGAAAAAGAAGGTCACGTATGACGAATCATCCGACGACGAAGAGGAGGATTTGGCCTTTCTGGAAGAGGAATCTGAACAATCGGAAGAAAGCGAGTTTGAGGATGACGAGCCTGTTGTCAGTTTGAAAAAGAAGGGAAAGAAGGGTCCACAAGCGACGAATGCGACCATTGAACCAGAAGAAGTTGTTGTTATTCCTATTGGAACAAAGGTAAAATGGAAAAATAAAAGACATGTGTTGTACGTTTTTTAGGGGGTTCTAATAATTGAGGTTTCTATTTAGGTGTTTGAGAAAATCCTAGATTATCGTCAGAATGAGGAAACGGATCAAGATGAATTGTTGGTTAAATACAAGGTAATTGGCGCTGGTTGGGGAGAGGGAATAAAAAACGTGGGATTGAATTTGAAGTTGGGGTTCTGATATGTTTATTTGCTGTGTATAGAACATGAGTTTCCATCACGTGGAATGGGTTCCTCTGAAACGCATTGAAGGCGAGCATCTAGGCAAGCATCGTGTCAAGAAGTTCTTGCAAAAGTGGAATCAAGATGGCCAACGTGGCGAAGACTTTAGAGATCATTTGAAGGTGAGTATCCGTGCTATTGTAAGTGTACCTAACGAGGTTAATAACCGATTTTTTTTTTTGGATAGGTGGACCGTGTCATTGATGAGGGTGAGTTGCAAGACCCGGCTTCAGGAGAAACCAAAATCTTCTTCCTTGTCAAATGGAACGGTCTTTTCTATGATGCCAGTACTTGGGAAACAGAAGAGGATTTGCGAAAGGTAAAAGTGAAAATCAAAAAAAGGGATAAGCAAGTTTACATGTATTTTCAAAATGAAGGCTGAAACAAAAAGGACATTTGCTTTTTTTTTTTTTTTTTTGAATAGATCGATGCTCTCAAAATCGACGAGTTCCATCAAAGACGTCAAATCCCGCAAGAAAAACTAGCCAATTCACCACCACGTCCTACGCCCATGACACCATTCCAACACTATGATCAGTCGCCCGATTATCGCTACACCAACGAGCTTCGATCATACCAGTTGGAGGGTCTAAACTGGCTACGCTTCTGTTACCACAACTATCGCTCATGTATCTTGGCCGATGAAATGGGCCTTGGCAAGACCGTACAGTCTGTTGCGCTCCTCAATGACATTTACTACACTTTGGGCATTCGTGGTCCATTCTTGATTGTTGCACCATTATCAAGTAAGTTTTTCAGCCTTTAATGTTTGTTAGAACGCTTGAGGGGGAGGTAATGTCATGGATTGACTTTTTTTTTTTCTTTACGTTCTAGCTGTGCCTCATTGGATTCGTGCATTCAATGCATGGACTGAGCTCAACGTGATCGACTTCCGTGGTAGCAATCATGCACGCAGCTTGATTGTTGAGACGGAGTTTTACTATAAGGATATGCAAGGCGCCATCATCCCCAACCGATACAAGTTTGATGTCCTTGTTACGACTTATGAAATGGTAATCATTGTCCAGAAAATGATGGATGGGGATAAAAGGAGAGGCGATGGTATTAAGCTCTTTCCAAATCTGGAAATTTCAATTTAGGCTTCCGCTGGTGCATCATTGCTACGTGAAGTTCAATGGAAGGCAGGCGTGTTTGATGAAGCCCATCGATTGAAGAACAAGGTAGGTGTTTTCTATATGGGAAGAATCTTGCATGAATTTCCTTGTGGAACGTAATACTAAAAGGATAAGCATGAATCTTTTTTTACACGCACAGCAATCTAAAGTATTGGAAATCCTCAAAACCTTTTACATTGAGCACAAGCTTCTGTTGACGGGTACACCACTGCAAAACAACCTCGACGAACTCTACAGTTTGCTCAACTTTATGCAACCCGAAGTCTTCAAGTATGTGATAACGAGACGGATATCGTTTGTACACGTTCAACTAACCAAACATGTGTCTCTCCTTTACTACCTTGATAGTGATGAGCGACTCTTCTTTGCAGAATTCGGAACACTGCAAACGGCTGCTCAAGTCGAACGTCTGCAGGCATTATTGAAACCAATCATGTTGCGACGTTTCAAGGAAGATGTTGAAAAGACAATTCCTGTCAAGGAAGAAACTGTGATCGAAGTCGAACTGACCAACCCTCAAAAGAAGTGGTACCGAGCGATTCTGGAAAAGAACTTTAGTTTCTTGAAGAAGAATGCCAAGAGTAAGTTTTACTATTTTAAAGAGAATAGTGGACCTTCCCCTCCCCGCTAAAGTTGTGAAATGTTCTACTAGCCAACAAGGAAATGCCACACTTGCGCAACATCATGATGCAGTTACGCAAGTGCTGTATTCATCCGTATCTTTTGGAAGGTGCCGAAGAAGTGATCCTGTCTGAATGTCATGCAAGTGTTCCTCGGGAACAATTCAACTGCTTGGTCCAATCTTCTGGTAAACTGGTAAGTCGAGCCCTCACCCCCTTGAGGAGTCTTGTGATGTACTAAGGATGTTTGTTGCACAGGTGCTGATCGACAAGCTTTTGAGAAAGCTGATCAAAGGCAACCACAAGGTTCTGATTTTCTCCCAGTTTACAAGGTAAGATACAGATCTGTTCTGGGTGTTTTTGGAGGGATTGTACTCTAAATCTGGTTCTTTTTTATTTTGTTTCTTTAAAAGCTGTCTCGATATTTTGGCAGACTATTTACGTGGTCGCAGCTACGCTTACGAGCGGATCGATGGTAGTGTTCCTGGTGATCAACGTCAAGCAGCCATTGATCGTTTCACTACCCTTCCGATCCAAGAGTCATTCGTGTTCTTGTTGTGTACCAGAGCTGGTGGTGTTGGTATCAACTTGACTGTAAGTAGTTTTATTTGCTTTCCAGGTTTTATGTTGGTGTTGTTTTTTGCACGAAAAGATATCTAATGCTTTAAACGACGACAATGTACATTACTATAGGCTGCCGATACGTGTATCATTTTCGACAGCGATTGGAACCCTCAAAACGATTTGCAAGCCCAAGCGCGTTGCCATCGTATCGGTCAAACAAAACCTGTTCAGATCTATCGTCTTATTTGCCGCAACACATATGAAAAAGACATGTTTGATCGTGCCGGTATCAAGTTGGGTCTCGACAAGGCTGTAATGCAACGATCCGGCGTCGCTACTACCGATGATAGCGCTGGCGGCTCGAGCAAGAACGAACTGTCCAAGAAGGAAATTGAAGACTTGTTGAAGAAGGGTGCTTATGGTGCTATGCTCGATGATGAGGCCAGGTACGAGTGAATATATATATATATATATATATATATCTCGGAATGAACTATGTTTATTTACCTCTTTCTTTTTTCATTTTGTCTTTTGGACGGAAAAATTCACTAGTACCAAATTCTGTGAAGAAGATATTGATCAGATTCTCGAGCGACGTACTACCGTTATCCGCCACGAAGGCAATGAAAAGGGTTCCGTTTTTTCAAAGGCTACATTCTCTGCCACCGAAGACAGCGTGAGTGTCGAAATTGACGATCCCGACTTTTGGGAAAAGTGGGCAGCAAAAGCAAACATTGATGCTGCAGAGGAAGTCGACGAGAACAATCTTATTGTGTACGAACCTCGACGAAGACGTACCGTTCAACGCTTTGGTAGCCGTCCTATCGATGGCTCGTACTCATCCAACGACAATGCCGAAGATTCAGATGCGTACGAAGAGGAGCAGGAAAAGACGCGAAAGAAGGACCAAACGCGGGCATGGAGCTTATCGGAAAAGACCAAATACGAGCGCAAGCTCATGATTTATGGCTACGGTCGTTGGGATTTGATGAAGCCCCATTTCCCGCGTCGATCTGAGAAGGATCTGAAATCAGTCACGCGTGCCTTGATGCGCAAGGTTGTGCCTACCATCGAACCCAACAACGAAGAGGATCGCAAGCTGGTGGACGATATCGACCAGATTCTGGAATCCGATTGTCGAGACGAAGTCCGTGGTGATCGCACGGTTCCATATTCGGGTGCTACCAAAAAGCAAATCACCGAGTTTCGGTCATTCCTTGATCAAGCTCCGGCTGAGTACGTTGAACATATCGAGCGTAAAGGTCGTAACTTTTTGTTACGTATCCAAATGCTGTATTTGATCCGCGATAAGATTGTGCCTAAACGTTGGGAGGATGCCAAGGAGTTGACAATTCCCAAGGTTACTGGCTCTGCTCCTGCTCCATGGTGGGGTGATGATGAGGACCGTGATCTCCTGCTCGGGATCTGTAAGCATGGTTACCAACAGTACCTTGCTATGCGCAATGACTCGGAGTTCTGTTTCTATGGCCGCAAATACGACGATAGTCGTGCTGGTTCACTTGAGGATGAGGATTCGGCTCCTATCAGCAACGGCAAGAAGGAGGAAGCGACGCCTGAAGTTGAAGAGAAGGAAGACGAGGATGATGAACGACAGGTAAGAAATCAATCAATTTCATGAGACATTGCATGTACCCTAACATTTCTTTCTATAAGGTCTATGTCTGGCCTTCCAAAGCTGATATTGGTATGCGCTTGCGCCGTATCATTGCTGCCTTCCTCCGTGAACAGGCCAACGATGCCAGAAAGCGCAAGGTCCAAGAAAAAGAGCAAAAGAAGGAACGTGACCGCAAGTCCAGAGCCAAGGAACGTGAATCGCGACAGGCACAAAGAGCGCGTGCCAAGCAGCAAGAAATCTCGAATCGATGGACGAAAAAGAACAAGGCCGACTTTTTGCGTACCATCTTGTCTTTTGGTCTCGAAACGCATCCAGACGAAACCGATGTACAATGGGGTCGTTTCAAGGAAATTGCTGGGCTAGAGAAAAAGACGGACGAGTCGTTGGATCTGTACCTGCAAAAGTTCTTGGCGTCGTGTGAGGAGACGCTGAAACGGCCAAAGCCGGAGCAAGAGAATCAGAAAGCAACGGGTAACCATGACGATGACAACGGCACCGGTGGTGCCAGCGTCAAGGCTGAAGAAGATTCTGCCTCCCCTGAACCATCGCAACAGGTCAAGTCTTTACAAGCAGCTCAAGATAACAACAACAATTTGACAAGCCGTGATTCGAGTGTCGAGCCTCCACAGTCTCCTCCGCCAGCGCAGGATGACAAGCATGCTGGTGAACGCGAAGAGCTTGGTGATGCAGACTTGGTGCCTTATGACAAGGCTCGACGTGCACTGAAGCGTATAGAACAAATGAAGACGATCCGTGAAAAGGTGATGGTTAACCCTGAGCTTGATTCGCTCTTGGCAAATGCTCGCAAGACGTCAGGATTGCCAAAGTAAGTTATTTTTTGTCACGATAGCTATTATCAGTAGTTGTTTCCAGCAAAAAAGAACAACAAGGTGGTTAACCTTGTTTTTTTCTTTGTGTTGGTCTTTTATAGCTGGTGGGAAGTGCCGCGCCATGACAAGGGTCTCCTTCAAGGCATTTGCACGCACGGCATTGGTCGCCACGACTTGTTGATCAACGACCCAGAACTTCCATTTTACGACAGCAAGCAAAAGATCATGGAACAGGACGGTGACATTGGCGTAGGCGAAAATACAGATACTGTCATGGACAAGCTGCAGTGGCCCAAAGATCTAGTCATTGCACGACGTATTGATGCATTATGCGACCTTGTTCTTAACCCGAAATCGCACTCAAAACGATTCAAGGGTGGCCGTAAGCGCAAGGCTCGATTAATATTACCAGCAGGGTCAGGAGGAGGAGGAGGAGCTGAAATGCCAAAGCGATCCTTGAAAGGAGGCAATAACACGACGAACTCCAAATTAAAACTGACTGTCAAGGAGCCAGAAGAAAGCAGTAGTAAGGACACGGGTTACAATAGCAACGACTTGTCTTCTGGTTTGGATTACAGCGACGATAGCGGTGAAGATACGGATACGATTCTGGAAGAAGCAACACAACGGATGCGCAAGCGTTACAAGGGAAACAATGATCATTCTGAACAACAGCAACCATCATCATCAATAGCACCAGCACCAGCACCAGCATCATCATCATCATCACCACCACTACCGAAGCCGCCACAATCATCATCGTCATCACAGCGTCAAGTAGCTTCCTCCGAGTCTTCTGACGAGAAGCATTCTGTGGTCCCTGAAGCCGATATTATATCCGCTGCAGATGATGATGATGACTACTCGACTGATTCTGATGACCAAGACGAAGATGTACACATGCGCGATAATGATGAATTTTAAAGAGACAACACACCCACACACACACACACACACACCCATTGTATCATAGACGACAACTTTTCCAATTGAAACCTTGAAATATAACCCTTTCCCTCCCTCATCCCTTTCTTCCCTCAAACCTAACCCATACACACACACACACGACTTTTTCCTTATAGTAGCTCCACATTCTGTGCTTGTTTTGCGTTTTCCCTTCTTTTTCTTTTATATTTTTCCAAATTATACATATATAAATTTCTCTTTTTCTTTTCTAACAAAAAAAAAAAAAAAACTACAGGACGTAGCGATAATCTGGATGTCTATCGCCAACAAGTTCTCCTCCACCATACTGTGCCAACTGCAACTCCTTTTCGTCTCTCGAAAGCTTTTCCCGTCTTGCATTTTCTCTTGCCAGTCCAAACCGCAAGACCAAAACAGCCACCAATTGTGCCGCGACACACGCACACACAATAGTATTTCCATTCTTGTATTCTGGAGGATCATAATAGATCTGACCGCCAATGATGCCACCGGCCAACCCGATCGAAACAATGGTAGCCGAAGCAATGGCACGTCTTGTCAATCCGCCAAAGTTATTCGTGAACCAGGCCACTTTGGCAGGCACGTTGGCGTAGACGGCAGTGACAACCAAACACGAAGCAGCATAGTGTGCGGCGACACGTTCTTGAGGAACAATAATCAGTATTAGAAAGCCCACGATGCCAACGAGCTCACATCCAACCATGTGGAACGATCGTTCAAAGAAATGATCGGAACTGCGTCCCACGGAAATGGTGGCAATAAATGCCAGAAAGTAAGGAGGTGTTGTCAGGGCCTGTGCTTGTGCGTCTGTCCACTCTCCCATACCAGCAACAATTGAGGGTAGGAATAGAGTGACACCGTGCATAGAGATGGCACCCATCAAATAGATGAAAATGTAAACGTAGAGTTTCCAGTCTTGATATACGGATGCTACCTGCGTCCAGGAAAAGGATTTGTCTTGGCTGGCACCCGCATCTTTTGTTGTAAAGGAACATTAAAAGTTACTTTCATATGAATGTCAATCGAATCATCAACAATCAGTACCTTCAGTCAAGCGCTCAATTTCCAATTGTCGCTCATCCTTGGTTAAAAATTTGGCCGTTTCTGGTTTATCTGGCAAGTACCATCCAGCGAACACGGCGATGAGAATGGACGGTGCTCCTTCAATGATAAATAACCTGTATTGTAACCATACACGGTTTAGTTGTTGTTATCTGCATTTGTTGTTTTCTATTTACCATTGCCAAGTAGCCAGTGTGTGCGTGGGAATTTGACTTATGCTATACAGCAAATGATAGGAGTAGATGCAGCTCATTATCAGAAATGATGGCCCTGATGAAATCTTATACTATGCGTAAAATTTCTGACTTACCCGTATGCTAAAAGCCCACCAAATGCTCCTGCAAGGGATCCACATGAGAAGAATAATCCAACACGTCTTCCGTACTCTTGACGGGTGTACCACAGACTCAGCACTATTCGTTACCGTAGTGTTAAATACGCCATATCCTCGAAATCTATCTTTTAATCGACGACTTACTGTAAATCACACCGGGAAAAAAGCCTAATTGATAATCATAACGGTCAGACATTTATTAAAACACTCTCTTCATTTGATGTTTACTTTTAACGATACGCTTATGGAGGAAAACGAAGATCATTATTATAGTTACCTGCTTCAAAGCACCCTAACAATAAGCGGCATACAACCAATCCAGCGAAATTTTTGGTAGCGGCCATGGCGGTGGCGACTGTACCCCATGCTCTATATGTATTTGGTAAAAAGAAGCTTAAAACACGCAGCAGGGATGATAACAAATGACTAAAAAAAAAGGGGGGGAAAGTATGGGGTAATACTTACACCATCAAAAAAGAAAGCCAAATTGCCGGGCGCCATCTTCGCATAATGATATTTGATGGGACCTGGAAAATAATATATCCCACGAAAAAGATGGAAAGACTCCACTGATATTGGAAATGGTTCATACCGAGGTCGTCCTCCAGACCGCCGAGTTTTGCATTTCCGATATTGGACCTATATATACCCGTTCGTTTCATCGTCGTCGTTAGATTCAAGTATTTTGTACATGAGAGCGGTGAGAGTTTGATAACAGTGATTATAAGTACGCACCGATCCAGAAAGCATAAGAGATACAAAATAGAGAGTAATGGAACAAGTCGCATGTCAAGTTTCCTACAACATTGTGGTATACACTCGAAAATTAGTTTCACATATTTTCATTCTGCTTTGGATGATACACATACCGTAAAAGCGCGGATTTGAGGACTTCTGCCTCAGATGGATCAAGGACTGCTGGCTTGGTGGTGGTAGTAGTAGTAGTAGTAAGAGCAGTAGCCACAGCATTATCAAGGTTTGTTTTCTCATCTGTTTCTATAACAATACTGTCATGTTGTTGCCCTATCATATTCGTAGTGTTCGTCATTATAATACTCTGAGATGATTATAATGAGGAAAGCGAATGAACAAGGGAGAAAAACGGAGGTGAGTAGTAGAAATTAAAGACCTCAACTTTTTCAATTAATTTTATTGCACCTGCATAAATCTTTTTTTTTTCAAGATGTTATCAATCACTCATTTGTAATACCACTCATGTATGGATACAAAAGAGGCAAACAGCAAGAAGAGCTACAGCATCAGAGTTAAGGAGAACAAGCTCGCTGTTATCGTTGTATGCGGCATACATATTCATACACAAGTAGTAGTAGTAGAAGGAGGCATATAGCATATCACTGCACGGCCGTTAACGCTATAGATCAATGAAATGCGGGGGCCAACATCTCATGAGCAGCAGAGAGCAACAGATGCATGAAGCTGGATACAACCATTGGATGCGTTTGATACAGCTTTACTACTACATAACGGGGTTTATGCCAAATATGTTACAAATCCGAAGAGACGCACATAGTTGTCATCAGGCTGGGAAACATGTCTAAACCCGAGTCCCAGTATGTAGAAAGCAGCCCACTTTTCTCTCAAAATGCATGAGATTCTATCACGCAAGATAAAACCCCCTCCCTTTTACCTTTCTTCCATTTTAGTGCTTTTGTTTACACATTCGACCTTTTGGATCAAAGAAGCTCCCAAGGTGCAACCTTTTGCAGCTGACGATACATGTATATTAGTGTGCATAACCAGCTGCAACGACAACAACAACGGCGTACATAACAAAGTTATGCACATATTGTCATGTAAAAACGCATTTTTCTTATGCATCACAAAGAAACTTCCAGGCGCCACCTAAGCTTGACTCACTCTAGCTTTTTCGATTTCGACGGTGCCACTCGAAGAGAAATCATGTACTTTGTACACAGACTGATGCTACTGCTGCAATATAATTAGCTTCAACTGACAGTCAATTCAGCGATGTACACTAGTTTGAACTTTTTCCCACCCCCTCCTTAAACCCATTGTTGCATGGAACAGCCCAGCATTCTATCTGTAAACAAAGCAGGTGTTTACATATGTCTTCCCAGCCATTCGACCATCAATAAGTTTTCTTATATGTATATAAAATTTGCAGAAAAAAAAGTTCTTTGCTGTACCATAGCCCACTCTAATATTATTCTCCCAAAGGCAATCCACACATCTCACAGTTAACGGCTCCACCAGGATTGGCAAAAGTACAATGTCGACACGATATTTCGGTAAACTCGGATGTAGCTGGCGTTGCAGCGCCTGAAGTTGTTGCAGATCGCGTCGATGGAGTGTTGTACCGAACGTTCCCTTCTACAAAGTAGAAACATTTCGTTGTGAATATGGATACAGTGTGTTCTTTTTTGGCTGTATTGAAAGCACAAGGATACAAAACGTACCTGCTTCTTTCAGCAATACTGTCAACGTTTTCCATCCATCCATTGTCTCTAGTATATCTCCTGAAACATCACGCTGTGTTGCGATTTCGCACACCCTGGAAAATTCGGATGGGGTGAGGGTATTCAATGTAGCAAGGAAGCATAAAACATGGAAGTCGGATAATAGTTTTTTGAGTTGTTCATGGTTCGATGCGCTGCTCAAGTATTTGGCAAGAGTACCGACATCTTGGGCGTGTCTATTCTCCACTGCAAAACCTGGAGATGCAACGAAAAGTGGATCTGGCTCATGAGGGAAACCGTTGGTTACCTGTAGTAGGGAAAAAATCAAAGTAAATTATGGATTGCTACTTGAAGGCACACACAAGATACACGAAGAACATACGTTAACCAGCAGATATTCGACCGGGAATGTGGGCTTGGCTGACTGCTTTACAACAACACCGTATTCGTTCTTGAATTTGTAAAATACTTCGGGAACATAGCGCTCATGTGCCACACTATCACGCACACGCATGACAGAGGGCTTGCGGCTAGGCTCAATGATATCTGCTTCTTGCAAAGCAGTGGCGGTTTCCGATACCTGATATGCCTTGACATCAATGTTACCCTCCAAATCGCCCGAGATGACGCATGAAAGGAACTTGGAGCCGTATTTGCCAGTGGCCGAGTGTCTGCATGGGCTGGGATGGCGTTTTTGCATCTCTGCAGCAAAAGCGCATTCGAGCGAGGACAAAAAGTACGAGTCGACGTGGCGTTTGGGGATCACCGTACCCTTTCCTGTGCCGTCATCGATTAGATCGGTAAATACCATGCCAACCAACGAGAGTCCGCACGCTTCTGCAACCTTGTTCACCATGGTTTCCTCCTCGTCCCATGGCAACGCCAGCTTAATGCCATCCACATGATTTTCTTGTGGCGGTTCATAGATCGCCTCCACAACTGCCTTGATGCCAAGGGGAACGTCAAGGTACGGTTCATAACGACCATACAGATAACCAATGCGTTGACATCCTGTGCTACGCCATGAGTTCAAAAAGGTATCCACTAACCCAGCAGATGAAAATTCAATATGATCCACCATACGGTATGTCTATTACGTTTACATTCATCGTATTATCCGCAACAGTTAGAATTCTGTCACCTCTTTACTAAATTTCCGTTGAACCTATTTAAACGTAGTATCACTTCCCCCTCCCACCCCAACTAAATGTAAACATTACCTGTCTCTGTAACGTGATTGCACTTGGCTGACACTTTGTGCAAATACCCTCAGGCCAAGGAGCATGGCCACCAGTACATGGTACTTTGACTTTGTAGTTTGGTTCTTCGAGTGGCGGTAATTGTTTTAAAACTGCTGACGAAGGTGCACTCGTCTGTTTAGCTTGGTCAATTTGTCGAAGATACGCATGGAAGGACATGTGCTTGATTTTGTGCTCTTCTAAATATCGTTGATCATACGGCTAATAGCACAACGTCAATTGAGTATGATTATTCTCGTTTTAAAATCCATCCTCGCTCTTTTTGTTTATGTTACCTCCAAAGGCATACAATAGTCGCACATTGCATTATCACCGTGTCGACAGCTATATAGAAGAATATAAGCAACCAAAAAACCCTGTCAGCAGTTACGGTAAAAACAAACTTACAAATCCGAATCTTTTGGTCTTTTGATAAGTCCACGTTGCTTTTCGAGAAAGTCGTCAACATTATCCTGCTTTACAGACGCAAGATCGTCAATCGGAATATACCCAGAGGCGTCTCTTGGCTGTGGTTGCGCAGGTGCAGAGGAAGAGGACGGAGACGCTGCGGCATCGGTGGTGCTGGTAAGTTCAGGAAACGAGACATAGACTATATCACCGTGCCTAACGATAAATGAGTAAGAATATAAAAAGGGACTGAGTGATACCGTAAGGTTATAATAAAACGTACTTTAGATCAGTTGAGCCAATCGTTTTGTCTTTAAGCTGAACAATAGGCGTTGCTGCATCAGGCTGAGGCTGGTCACCAACTGCAATCGTGTCGGGATTATCAAGTTTTAAAGTAGACGCGATCTGTCCGATTCAATAGCGTTGGCGTGGATCGAGGAAAAGGCAGTGCGTCATGTGTAAGCACCAAGTAGATAGTTATATTAAGCCCAAGATTTGCAAACGCACAAGAAGCAGAAAAGAATACCTTTTGAGCCAAAGAAGCAAAGGTGTCGCTAGGATCGACTTGGATTCGGCTCATGCCTTCCTTTGATCGAATTCGAAGAAGCTACGGCATAATTTCAGCAATGACGATAATCTAATAACTGAGCACTCGCGAATAAAAAGCATACCATGGTTTCTGTAGAAAGTAGCGACAAAACATATGTGATAAATATAAAGCCAAGTAAGTTGGTAGCCGATACTTCAACGGTCCTTCTAAGTAGTGGTAATATGTATACCTTTGTACGTTGGGTCGTAGACAACGCGAGTTAAAACGTGAAAGGGAAGGAATCGCATACGTGGACGTCGGACCCTGTCCATAATTTATTGGAATTTTTGACTTGCAATATATTAGTGCGCAATGCAGCTCTGTTTCACCTAATTAGACAATGGACATACGCAGCATTAATGCAAAAATGACATCCCAAGGTCCAATCACTAGAAAGCTTTTTTTATTGAGCCAAAGCAAGCGCAGTAATAATGATGATAGTACAGATGAATTATTATAAAAACAGCAACAGGAGCAGCTTTTGTCACGTAAGCAAATCCCTTAAATGATCTTCAAACCGAGATATTGAGATCACAAGTGCTTTGACGTCCATACCGGTTAAGCTAGAGGCAAGATTCAAAAGAGCCTGATACTCCTTTGGTATGATATTATACTTTAATCTCCAATACAAGGTATTGTCATATACAGAGCGTGAGGCAAGAATTTGATCCTTGGCCTTTGATGGATCCAGACGACTAAGGCTACCAAGATCTTGGTTTTGCTTTGGAGGAAAGAATATCGCGTCATGTCGGCTGGTCGTGAATGACGTTGGATTTGGTCTCTCGCTACCAAAGGTAACCACTACAAAGAGAATCATGGCAATCAGTAAGAGCCTACTGGCCCATAATCCCTTCCCTCCCCCTTCACTTACTATTTTTAGGATGGTAACCAGCAGATTTGAGTGTCAAGGCAAGATTCTCAAGAAATCGAGTTCGAGATGCCATGTCACTTCCAACTTTCATGATATCTCTGTGATATATCAACATTGTTATTGTAAGCAACAACCGACGATTTTACAAAACAAGCATATGCAAAGAATCATACCTTTCTTGATATAAGCGTTTATAACGCTCTGTAGTGGATCGTATCGTGTCTACTATTGCATCTTTGTTGGGTAGTTCAGGGAGTGGGCGGTTTCTTTTGCCTTGGGGCTTATCGTCAAAATAATAGAGAAACTTGAGAAGAATGACAATGGTCAAAACCGCCTGGATATCATCATGTCTTTCATGGTCTCCCAAACAGGAAGCATGGTTCAGGATGCCATCCTGTATTTTCTCGATGATCGCTACAGCATGGCTCCTAAAGGTATCTTTTTAAACGAGCAAGAAAATATAAGATCTCAATGGAAAGTTCATATTTGAAATAATAAAAAATGGATGTGACCAGCTGTTAATTATATTATCGTACCTGGTAAACCAAAGTGCGGATAGAGGCGATGCATGATGACCGGTATATTGGCATCGGAAAAGACCAAGCCGCAATATTGTTTATAGCATATACGGAATCGAACTAAGGAAGCATATAAAATGTGGATACTCGGGATATGCTTGAACGTGTATATGAATGCCTTGTCGAGATGGCGTACGATTCTTTCAGGTATACTATGCAGTGTCTCCATATACGGCAGCTGGGATGTTGTGCACCATCGGTGGACATCTGAGAGTAAGACAGGAAGACGTGCGTATTTGAATGTCAGGAAAATGAATAGGATGACATTTGAATAACGTAGCTGCGGCCATGCGTGCATATATTTTTCCTCGTCGTTATTATCGTCATTACTGTCGACATTGTCGTGCATTACACCCAAATCTACTCCAAGTTCGTCTTCGACAGTTATGGTTGCAGCAGGTAATTTTGCCTCGTTGGCGTCAACATCGCCTAGCTCTTCCTCGTTTTCGGCGAATATATCAAACGTAACTGATTTTTCAGTGGATACGACATACAGCTCCCATAAATTTTGTGCAATCCTCTGAATGTCGTCTGGAAAACCGAATTCGCGTACACAGTGTTCGACAAGTATGCTCAGTCCCTTTTGACAGATTTGTAAAATGACACTGTCCCTGTCAGCACCGATGAAACCTAAATTGATTTGTTTCGAGATCAGAAAATATAAGCTTTTTGATTACAGTCTAGGTCAAAAATAATATATGCTGCTTACGGCCTTTATCTTCTTCTACATTTGAATGGACCTTCTTTTGTTTCCGTCGTTTGCCCATGTATATGATTCCTTCGTCTTGTGTCTCTTCAGTCCAACCAAGTAGTACGTGACCATTCTTGCACACCATCGTGCCGTCCGACTTCTTTTTGAATCGTTTCGTTCCGCATCGTTCACAGGGGTTGCTGCTTTTCATGACTGTTGGTAGAGATGCAAATTATAATGTTTGTCGAAAGGGAAGAGGGTAGAAAGTGATGAATATTACTAAACAAAATTATTGATAGTGATGAAAAGCTCGCGTGTTGCAGTGTATGTATGAGAATAACGTATGAATGAATTTATGAATGTGCAAAGGAGGTTGATAAAGAAAAAGAGAAAGGTGAAAATGTATAAAAGCGTGGCAATGTGTTGGGCGATGTTTTGTTGTTGTGGTGAAGAAAGCGCAGCGACAGGATTAAATCTTTTTGTTTTCGCGATCCTCAGTGGATATCGTATAAGAGTTTTCGTCGAGTATCCGATCCAGTTCGTACTGTAGATTTTTGATACAAGAGGCCTCTACAAACAAATGCGTTTCGTCGAGATCTTCAATGACAAAATTGCCTTGCTTGTTGAGGTTGAGCACTATTTGTTTGACTGTCGTATCACACTCTAACAAAACGCCTTTCACTGCCTTGACCATAAAGAATTGTAAGAGGACGAGATCCACTTGGTTGAAAGGGAAGAAAAGAAAAAAAGTGCTTGAATGCGAGAATGTGACTATCTGGCTGATCTGGCTGCGCTTGCTGCTTTTTTTTAAATCGCCAGTCCGCTGCGCGCCGTATCTTATATATTTTCTTCTTTTTCTTTATATATCCTTTTTGCATAATCTTTACCATGGGCTCAATGTGGTGGGGACAAAATGCTTTCGATGAACTCATTGGTAGCTAATACACGTTTATTTTTCTCGGCTATGAAAAGAAACAAAGCTCTAACTATCACATACATATATGTTAATACGCAGAGAAAGCTACGTCGGAACTGCTACCAGCGAATCAAGAAGACGTCGCCCTTCAGTTTATGATTAGTGACCAAATCCGCAGCAAAAAAGTTAATGCTAAAGATGCCATGCGTGCACTGAAAAGACGCCTCGAGCATAAGAATCCAAACGTTCAAAACGCCACGTTATCGGTAAGCCATAAAAGAGAGGGGAGGGGGGTGAGAAGAAGGAACTATGCTACAACAAGCCCCACTTCCAACACATTATGCTCTGTGTATATTAGCTCACTGATACTTGCGTGAAAAATGGAGGCGACCAATTTGTGCGTGAAATAGCTAGCCGTGAGTTTATGGAAGCCATTTCCTTCCTGGTGCACTCACAGGTACGTTGGGAACATAGCATAATGTATATTTAATCTATGTATCGGACGAGCCAATAATTGCTGTTGTGACAAATATCATCGCTTAGAGCACAGAGCATAACGCGAGACTGCGTGCTCTGACCATCCTTCAGACATGGGCACTTGCGGCCAAGAATACACCGTCGCTTAGCTACCTGACCGATACCTACAACCTGTTTCGTGCAGAAGGCATCGTGTTCCCCGAACCTCAAGAGTTGGTCAATTCGTTTCTTTTGGAAACCATTGCGGTAAGCGAGGCAACTACGTGTCCATATTTCATTCATAGATGAAGAAATTTTGTCTTTTCGGTATCAACTGACAGCACCAACTAATCTAGCCTCCTGAATGGACCGATTCCGATGTGTGCGAACGTTGCAGAACTGCCTTCACACTCACCAATCGTAAGGTATATTTTCCGGGATGGAAGTGCTGGATTTGAACCAAAGCATAAAGTGGGGATGATCCTTGCAGAGATAACTGAAGTCTTTTGAATTGCAGCATCATTGTCGAAACTGCGGAGGCACATTTTGCCAAGAATGTTCTTCCAAGTCACTACCGTTGCCACATATGGCAATTGATGAAGCTGTTCGCGTGTGCTACGGATGCTATATCAAGCTCAAATTGTCGCGTGTTGCCAAGAAAGAAGGACCACTGCCACCCTATCCAGGCGCGCCTCAACAACAACAACAGCAACACCAAGCAACGTCATCGTCAGTGGTTCGCACACCTGCTGTTCCATCTTCCACACAACAAGCACAGTCTACTACTGCGGCACAAAATGACGATGACAAACAGTTTGAAGAAGACTTGAAAAAGGCCCTCGAGCTTTCTAAAAAGGAGGCTGAACAAAGTGGACCATACGGCCACGGATATGTATCCACTACCGCTTCAGCGCCAGCTAATGACAAAAAAGCAGCAAGCAACTGGGAACCAGCTCCAGCGTCCAACAAACAACAAGAAGAGGAAGAGGAGGAGGAAGATCCGGAACTGGCAGCAGCCATAGCCGCGTCGTTAAAGGACATGGAGGATGCTCAGAAATCGACGTTGGAATTTTACAGCAACCAAAAGACAACAGCACGTATCAACAGCGATGAAATGTCACCTGTGGAAATGGAAAACATTGAACTTTTTTCGCTTTTGATGCATCGTATCAACGATACTGGAAACAACATTGCAAACGACGAACAGATCAATCGCCTCTACACACAAATTGGCACGTTACAACCTAAATTAGTCAGGAATCTGGATGAGGCTAGTCGGAAGCACAGTGAGTATTAGATTTTCTTTTCAGTGATGGAAGGCTTGATAGTAAAATTATCTATTCAACTGCTTTCTTTTGTATAGAAAAATTCGCTGAGCTACATGAGAAGCTCAATATGTCTGTCAAAGCGTATGATCAGCTGCTTCAGCAACGAGTATCTAACTCTTACTATAATCGAGCACCATCTCTGTCGACAGGAGCTCAAAGCTTTTACTCGAGTCACTACCCAACTAGTACTGTACCCACTTCACCTATACAACAGCAGCAACCTACTTCTTTGTATCCCACCATGCAAACTCCGACCAACAACAGTAGTACCTCCACATATCCGCAACCATTACAATCTTACAGCGGCAATGGTCTTAATGCGCCACCAGCATCACATCCTTCCTATCAGCCAGAGCCGCAGCAGCAATACCATTATGGATCACCAGCTCCTGCACATCAGCAGTCAGTACAAGCTCCAGTCTCAAAAACACCTCAACCTCAAAACTATTACCCGGCGCAGCAACAACAGCAACAGCCATACCCACAAATACCACAACAACAACCAGCAATGTATCCTGCTGCTCCTACCCATATTCCAACATCCACACCTACCCAACCACCACAACAGCAACAACAACAACCAAAACCGATCGATGAAGCACCTCTCATTGAACTTTAACATTAAATCATTATATCATTATCATTATCAATATATTTTTTTGGCGAAATATAAATATATATCACTACCTCTTCACATTTTCTTCCAGAATGTAAAGGATTAATATCTATGCTGATCTAACAGACACTGCTTGGTCCATAAGATGCTTCACAGCCATCGCACGATATGACTCAAGGTCAGGTACCTGAAGACCAACAACCTTGGCAGCGTCATCCCATTTGCGTACTTGAATTTTCAAATGAAAAAGAGGATCCTGTTCAAACGCTTTCACCTGGTTAGGGGTAAATGGGCCTCCCTGAAATGGTCATAGTTAGCATCCGTGTGTGCTACTACTACTATTACTAGTATTACCCCACCAACATTATCTTGATAAGACGTAGTACATTCTGAACTCCTTTTCTTTTCTCTCTCTCTCTCTCTCTGTTGCCACGTACCTGATATTTCAAAGACAACTTGCTAGCACCACTCAAGCCATCGTAGTACGTGTTATCCTTGCCAGTGAGATAACGCTTGACCGGGACATGCGATTCCACTAACTGGGCCACTTTTTCAGAAAAACCTAGTTTTCGGAGATACTCGGCGCCGATACGTTCGTGTCCAGTTACTCCCACACTGATTGTTGCATTGTATCCTGGCGTTTTTGTTGCCGTTGGATCCAGTTCCGTGAGTTCGGAGGCGTCACAGATCATTTGTTTTTGATCAGCAGAAGTTGCGAATTGTCCAATGTCATGCAAGAGCGCAGCCAGGACTGTTTCATCGTCGGCGTCTATTTTAAAATAATACCATTATGTGTTATCAGTAATATCATGCTATGTTGCCAAAGATTCAATAATAACAAAGGCAGGACGCTCCACAATCTCTTACTTGCTTCACGTGCCTGAGCCGCCGCCTGAAGACTATGTTCGAGTTGTGAAATTTTTTCGCCAATATAGTTCTGTTTGCTTCCGTCAACAAGAACCTGGAACACAGAATTTACAATTCGGTTGGATACTGTGTCATTCATTTGTTTTTTGATAGATAGACGCGTTGGTTTCAAGTTATAGGGTAAAATATGCAATTGAGAGGGAAAAGAGAAGAAAAAAAGCCCTTATAAGGTTTTGCACAGTTCCGCGGATCAAAAGCGCGCGGATCGAGAAGACACATTTGCTTTGTAATTTACCTGATTTAGCCTGGCGTTATCTTCTGCACAGAATTGCTTCTCACGTATAATACGTAAGGTGCCTGTGTATGACGATGGACATAGAGTGCGCGCAACTCCCTTTCCTCTCTTCATCCCACCCGACCCCCAATATTCCATTCTTTTGGTGACACACGTGAATCGGCCCTATTTGGAAAATTTTAACAGTTGTGTGAAAACCTGGGTCCCTTCTTCCATTTTCTCTTTTTATAGAAGGGTCCTGCAACGCAATTACGTTATGCTACGCGGGTACGTGAGGAACATGTGCTTCCGAGGAACGGTTGTCTTGAACTCTCTCACTAGACTGGCCTCTTTTTTGGAATCTTAGATTTGCATTATCATATATAAGTCAAACAAGTTCATTTTCTTTTCCAAGATAAAATCAAACTGTCACTGTCAAAGCTATTCAACCCAATTCTCCAGATAACAAGCAACAATAGCCATGGCTTCTTCTGTGCGAAATACCCAGCCTTATGTGCTTTCTGATAAGCAACTGCACGCGTACAAGGACGATGGTTTCTTACTTATCGAGGACTTCTTTTCCCCGCAAGAACATGCTGCCCTGGCGAGCTACTGCCAAGAGTTCCAGAGATGGGGTAAAGAAAAGGGAAAGTGGATGCAATATTATGAGGTCAACACCTCAAGTGGCGAAAACCAACTATGCCGTACCGAGAACTTTACTCCATTTCACGAGTCCATGGCAGGCTATGTCAAAAGCAAGCGTCTCCTGGATGTTCTGCAAGAACTCCACGGTGAAGAATATGTCCTCTTTAAGGAGAAAGTCAACTATAAGCTTCCAGGTGGTGGAGGTAAAATTGCAAGAGAACAATCACAAGGTTGACGTATCATAACGATTAAATATCATACTATATATTATGTTTGATCATCAAATTATGGCAAATAGGTTTTCCAGCACATCAAGACGCTCCTGCATTCGTTCAGTTTGGCCAGTCATCCCATATGACGGTAATGTTTACCATCGATCCTACCACAAGTGAGAACGGCTGCTTGGAAGTAGTTCCGGGGTCACACAAGAATGAATATGAGCGAGGAATTTTACCGCAAGAAAAACATGATGGGTCAATCTCAACAGATTGGTGCAACAAGCAAGGGTGGAAGCCTGTCTACTGCAAACCTGTAAGTAACAAGTATCCTGTTGATATCATAAAAAATCATCTCTGGCATAAGTATGACACATACACTCTTTTTTTCCCGTATATTATTTTGCAGGGATCGGTCCTGATTTTTGGCGCTTATTTGGCTCATCGTTCTGGGGACAACAATACCAGCAACTCGAGAATCGCTGTGTATCTCACTTATAATGCTGCTCGAGAGGGTGATATGCGTGACCACTACTATGCAGAAAAGCGAAAGTTGTTCCCGCCATCTTATGAGCGTGAGGAGGGCAAGGATTACAGTAAGTGGCACACTTTTACGTCTCTATGTTAACTTAAATCTATTGTAGTTTAAAATTAGCACGTTTGCTTACACTTACTGTTGCTGTCTGTTGTTTACTTTTTAGGTGAAGGTGCTGTCATCTACAACCTCGCTACTCCCATTAAATCATGAAAAGCTGCGCATCATAGTTTCTTTTCAATTACAGTAGTATCAGCTCATTTTGCTTATGACATTTTAATGATATAAGTACTTCAACCTTTCTTCTCCTATATATACTACTACTACATAACTATACTTTGTTCCATGATGTTAAAATTATTTGCCGTGCATACAATCAATCCTCCGCAAAGGTCAACCTTGGTAAAGCAAACCGTCAATAAGAGTTCTTTTTCATTTGTCTATACCAACATGATCGTATGTCAATCCAGATAAAATATCCTGTGATTGGTAATAGCAGATGCAGTTAATTATATGTACAAGCTTTTTATGAGTTGTATCAGATATGTAGTATTGTATATAACAGATATTGATGCAGTAACAATGTCTCTATTGTATATATATTTTCAGCTTATTGCTTTCACCACGTGAGTGTAAGTTTAAGAAATGCGTGTCTTTTACAAAGCTGCGGCTACCGAAGCGTATATTCCCACTTACTGCTAACAATCGTGTCTGTTTCCCGTAAAGCTTTCTTGATAATTTTCCCTGACAGCCGGTTGCTGTTTGGCCATAAGATACTCGTAGTGCACATCATTTTTTTTTGCCTCGGAAGTAACTGAAAAGTTGCAAAATCAATGGATACTTACAATGAAAAGGTATATGCTAGGCATATATAGGTACTTCTTCGTGCAAATTGTCCCACAATCTCTCCCATCTCAGTTAAACTTGAAGAATACTAATACAGATGTGAAAAGAGCCTATCTCTCCATGCTCTATGTTACAAAATATTTGTGATCCTTTGGAGCATGCGTTCGTGTTGGCGATCATATAGAATCAGTACATATCTGCAGCACCAAAAACAGACGATATTAATTACCGAGTATTTTAACATGTAGAACTTCATCTACTCCAACAGCAACAGCAACAATAGCTGCATGTTTAACCACGAGTGGAATGAAACTTGAGGGTGGGTTGAAAATGAATAGTCAAACTTATGAACAACGGTTGGCATTTGTGGAAGAAGTAACTCGTGTGTAGCCGTGTGTTTTGTCGAAGAATACAAAGTTTGAAAAATAAAGTTAAAGAAGAACAACGCGAGATAAAATATATTTATATCAATTGTCGAAGAGTACAAAGTTTGATAATCATTACATGAAAGTCAAAGAAGAGCGCGAGATTAGATATATGATATCAATCGTTGAAAAGTACAAAGTTTGATAAATGAAGTCAAAGAAGAAGAGCGCGAGATTACATATACGATATCAATTGTCGAAGAGTACAAAGTTTAACAGATTTTTACATGAAAGTCAAAGAAGAACGCGAGATAAAAAAAAAGTGCCCTCAACAAGCAGTTTGCATGGCCTGAAGGCTACACAAAAAGATGAAGAGTGCAAGAAAAAGATGAGTCTGTGTGTGAAGGGAAGGGGGAAAAACGCGAGGTAAAAAGAGTGCCCTCAACAAGCAGTTTGCATGGCCTGAAGGCTAAACAAAAAGATGGAGAGTGCAAGAAAAAGAAGAGTCTGTGTGTGAAGAGAAGGAGGAAAAACTCAGTAAAAAAAGTGCCCTCAACAAGCAGTTTGCATGACCTGAAGGCCACACAAAAAGCATGAAGAGTGCAAGAAAAAGGGTCTATGTGTCCCAAATCATTTAGCTTTTTAAGTCAATCAACCACGAACCCAAGCCATCCTTGGTACCAACGAGCGGGGAGCCATGGCTACACATAGTTTCGAGAGTCAAGTGCAAGCCATCGGTTGAATACTGCTTGTGCGTGGGGAGAAACTTAGAGGGAAGAGGGAAGGGAGAGGGAAGAGGGAAGGGAGAGGGAAGAGGGAAGAGGGAAGGGAGAGGGAAGAGGGAAGAGGGAAGGGAGAGGGAAGGAGAAGGAAAAAGAGTTGACTCTCAAAATACCCAAATAAACGGCGTTTGCTGAAAAGTCGGATGCTGTTGTCAATTGCTGAAGCTCGGATGCATGGAGTCGATTGCCGAGTGTCGATCAGGGTTAGACCAGGACCAACGGAGGCAAAACCAGGACCAACGGGAACAAGACCAGGACCAACGGGAACAAGACCAGGACCAACGGAAGAGCCAGAGCCAAAGGAAGAGCCAAGGGAAAGACCAGGAGCAATCAAGGGAGTGAAAGAAAAAGAAAAAAAAAGTGCCCTCAACAAGCAGTTTGCATGACCTGAAGGCCACACAAAAAGCATGAAGAGTGCAAGAAAAAGGGTCTATGTGTCCCAAATCATTTGGCCTTTTAAGTCAATCAACCACGAACCCAAGCCATCCTTGGTACCAACGAGCGGGGAGCCATGGCTACACATAGTTTCGAGAGTCAAGTGCAAGCAATCGGTTGAATACTGCTTGTGCGTGGGGAGAAACTTAGAGGGAAGAGGGAAGGGAGAGGGAAGAGGGAAGGGAGAGGGAAGGAGAAGGAAAAAGAGTTGACTCTCAAAATACCCAAATAAACGGCGTTTGCTGAAAAGTCGGATGCTGTTGTCAATTGCTGAAGCTCGGATGCATGGAGTCGATTGCCGAGTGTCGATCAGGGTTAGACCAGGACCAACGGAGGCAAAACCAGGACCAACGGGAACAAGACCAGGACCAACGGGAACAAGACCAGGACCAACGGAAGAGCCAGAGCCAAAGGAAGAGCCAAGGGAAAGACCAGGAGCAATCAAGGGAGTGAAAGAAAAAGAAAAAAGGAAAAAGAAAGTGGCTTGAAAAAAATGGGCGTATTTACATCTTTTGAACTCAAACCCCTGTCTTTAAAAAAACACGTCACTGGCCTTTGATTCGTCGCTTAAAATAATGTGAGAAAGCAAAAGGGTGAGGGAAGAAAAAACATGTGCAGGAAGAGACATAGTCAAGCGGCCAAGCGGTCAAGAAGAAGGCGTGTGTGATCTGCGTGTAATGGTTTGCTCTACGAAGTATGTTTCACCGTATCATGCAGGGCGTGTCCCGACGGTGTCGCCGCTTGTTTTCATATAAGAAGGTACGTGCACACACAGGGTTTCAGCAACACCGCCCCTGAGTAAAAGTGTCAGAAATGGTTGAATTGTGAAGTGGCATTGTAACAAGAAGCTCACATAAGAAAAAGCCATATTACTTTTGTGTCAAACCAAAAAAGAATGCTGCCTTTTCCGTATATGAGAAGAAGCGTTCAAACTAAAGTATAGTTGCTTTGATACGATGACTTTCAAGTGAATAATGCACACTGTTACCTTCCTCTTTCTCTTAATATTTCTGACACTGAAGTTTAGCAGCTGTTGTAGCCATATCAACGTACAGGCTGTACGTATGTACTTAGTATGTACACAGTCCTAATAAAGTTGAACGTGAAACTGTGTTCTCCACGCTATCCTTCAAAGCGTTTCCAAGCAATCTAGTTTTTACAACAACTGGACAAGCAAACCGACACAACGGTTGGATTAACCTCATCGACTCGTCTCAGCTACTAAAAAAACACAAAGTACGATTGAATAGGCAGAGCGACTACTCGAGTACCCCATATGCCACGACATTCTATGACGGATCAACGACATCACGTTTTGCAACGGAATGTACTTGCTCAAGTCAAGCAGCAACAACAGCAGCCCCCAAGAGCAGCAGCATCAGAGAAGATGACATTGTCAACTTTTAAAAAGCTGTTTGACGCGCTTCCGTCGCGTAATCTTTCTGGCAAGGCAGCTTTGAGTACCGCGGCGGGTTTCTTCTTTCCATGCTGCAAAACCGAATAAGAGTGGCAGATCTTTTGTCGCGTGCTAGATCCTATCTGAATATGGGCATGTCGGTCGTAACATTTTGACGGGTTACTGCAAGTCGAGGACTGTAGCAAGAGCTTGTTAAAAGCGTTGTCCTGGCGAGCATGGTAGCAACATGAAAACTAACGCCTGATGATGATCAATGATACGCGTAACGTAGGTTGAATGGCGTACGCGGTGCATCACCTTTGCACGTAATACAGGTTCTGTTATAGTTTACTCGTGTTCTGGACGCTTTCATGTCGCTACACACGCGCAAGATGCGAACTGGATTCGTTTGTTGGAGCGATGGTTATCATGGGGTTATAAAATGACTGTCATTTGTTTTAGGCTGCCCATCATCCGCGTATACAGGCAGGGCAGCAGCATGGAGGATAACTTGACAACATTCTGACAAATACACTTACGGCGACAGCGCATAAACAAGGTTTTTGCGAGTGCAAGCACAAAAGCAGCAGGGGCGGTTATGTAGGTGATTGAAGCCAAGGGCAATTTCTTGAGCGTTGCATCAGGCTTTATACTGTGTATACAACAAAGCATCCGGTACTTTGAACACCATTGAAGCCCCCATTACTGTGCGCTATTCCTCCCATCCGTCACGATTGTTTGTGGAGAAGGTAAACCTGTACTACAAGCTGCTGTACATGTCATTTTAACAACTGCTGCTGCTGCTACATACCATGTTTCTTTGTCGCTGTACACCGTTTGTCCTTTTCCTTCTTTTGGTGCCGCTGCTTCTCCAGCAACGTATTGTTTCTTTACTTCTCTGCATCAATCTACTCTTGTCGCTTCTGTTTCTGCTCTCTAATGCTATCATATCCGTTGCTGCTCATCAATGGATCTGGTGATTGGATATACTCTTATTATTAAGTTCTTCAATAATATCTTACCTGAACCGTTTCCGCGATATTTTCAAACATCTTCTGTGTCTTCGTTTACACTTTTGCGTAGTACCTGATTCGTACTGTTGCTTATAAAGTTCCCGCTAAGCAGATTCTTCCTTGCTTGTCTCTTTTGACGTGTTATTTCGCCTCGACTCGGCCAGTCCAAACATTTGGATTTTGTGAGTTGTTGGTCAAAGCCGGCACAGTACCGGTTAGTGCAAAGATATATAGGAGGATACATAAGGGCATTCAACCTTTCCATCTTTGAAAATAAGCACTATTTTATGCATGTAGCATCACTAGGTATACTTGATGTATGTGCATACTATAGACTTCATCAATATATCTCCAACAGCTTGTGTATATAGAACCGGCCGACTTCGTGGGTGTTGGATGCGTAACGGTTACATCTTTTTCTTTAACTGGTCGAGGTGAGTTAGAATCCAAGAAACCTGGTAGGTTACTACGTAGTGAAGCAAAGTTATAATCACATTTTCGACGTGCAATAGCTTTTGCGCCTCCCCAATAGCCCTCTATCTAGTTGGTTTCACAGTGGTATCGTGGGTAAAACTTGCAAATGTGCCCTGCTTCTTGTAGCATAGATTTTTTGTTCTCGAAAACCGGGTTGCTCCCAGCATGCATATGGAACGGACAGCAAGTAGAGTCTTCATTCGGCCCGTTATCGTCGCACTTTGCCTTCCAGTATTTTCCGGCCGATTGTGTTCGTCCCAAAGCCCAGGCTTCCGTTCTTGTAAGATCGGCTGAACACCGAGGGCTGTTCATTCCGTGATCTCCTTGGATTCACCCTTCTTGCGCTTAATGAGAGTTGTTGATCGATAAAACGGCTGCTCGACCTTTTTGTAACCGTCCATATACTATCCTCATCGCTTTTGCTATTGAACACGGCTTGACATCTTGCCGTTCAGTCCAAGTCGCGATACAAGGCGTGCATCACTGGCATGCGCACGATGATTGCTGGACTGATAAAAAATAGAGACGGGTACGACACTCAGAGGATGCAGACTTTCAAAAAGGTGTATTGCATCTTCTTGTAAATGCTTAAGTAAATCCCCACTGTCCGTTGCAGCTTTAACTTGGCTTGTTTCTTTAGAAAAACAATGTATCATAATGGATCGGTAAGGTATCTATTCCCTGTGTTATAAAACGGTATCGGTATCCAAGACACTAATATATGTATATTATAAGGCCAAGGATAGCCGTGTATTCTTTGGCGCACTTGAACTATCATATCTCTGAGAAGATGAAGTCTTGTCAGCCTTGCATTGAGAGAGCAGAGATAAAATTAATCATTACAACAAACAAAGTACATATCACTTATACCGAGAACATTACCTTGGATGCACACAGGAGGGCTATCATATACTACACGCAACCAAGCTGATGTACAGCAGCATATATATAGTAGCTGTAGCACACAGTGGACATACTCAAATATAGTAAGCCTTCATCAGCCACGCCTTTCTCCCTAGTTTTGCTTTTTGACTTCTCGTTGTCCTTCTCTAGATGACGACTGTGTACTCTTCACGGTATATTATATATGACCTAAACTATTTCTGGTTTAAAACTACACAGGTACCGATGCTCAGCGAGCGAGCTTCTAGGAACGAACCTTTCGAAACTCAGATATCTATGTACTGTAAACATGGTCTTCTCATTCGCCCTACAGTAGACCCTCGTTAATTACATAGCGCGGATTCCCAAATTTGTGTGAGATTAGTGAGTGTTGCAAGTTAGCGAGAACAGCTTGTACTAATACTCCCTGCTATTCTTATTTGTTTGATAGCTCCAATAACTTTAAAAATAGTGAGGGATGAGAGTTATCGGGTTTGAAATTGAAGGGGGTCGACTGTAGTAGAGCATCACAAAGTTTCGAGTTCGTATCTACCTCATGTAATTGACAAAAAGCGGCGTTCCTTCCTGAGATAATTGATGAAGCCATCTACATAGTTTATTATCATACCATTCGTTGGTAGCGATGCTTACAACTGCCAAATCGGGTAGGTACAAAAGTGTAGCGCCAAAAGTGGGGTGGATTTGATTATGATATCTTAGCAGATATGAGTGTATCGGAATTCATTAATTGCGCTGCACTGGATGGTATAAAACTACATAAACGCCGATTTACGTAGTATCGCGTTAACTCACAAAAACAAATATGCATGTCGATTTCTAAGAGAAACTTACGGCTACAGTAGCATGTCTATTTAACGAAACAATTCACTGTTCAGCTTGATCTTCCATTCGTGTTTGTTGATCATGTTGTTCCGCAGCTGTTGATTTTCTCCATCCAAGTGCCGCTGTTGCAGACATTATAATAACGGCACCAACAACGCTCATCCAGTCAGGATATTCTTGAAAGATGAAGAGGCCAAACAGGTACGCGAAAACAATTTCATTCATACACATCAATGTGCCAGGACCAGCTGGTGCCATCTGCAATCTGTATATTACAGTAAGATAAGCTAGTTGTGTATACATAGTGGCTCAAACAGATACATAATATGCTGTTCTTTAAGTTTTTCGTATGTATCATTTACCCTTGATTCACGAGACATTGACCAACAAATGCGCAGACGCCGGTTAATATGAGTGCTGTGTACTCTTTCAATTCCGTTGGTGCGGCAAAGTCGCCGAAATTTACACTGCTTACGATTACTGCAATAAATCCGAATGAGAATGTGTGATTCAGAAAGTGCGCACGTTTGCCTATTTTGCGCACGGTGATGTAGGCAACAGCCGATAATACTGCGGCAGTTATTGAAGACAGGATTGCAGTTGCACGCGAGCTGCTATTATCATCGCCATCTCCAGCGACAAATAGCAATGACGACAAGCTGTCTTTGTTTTTGTATATGATTGTATCAGCATATTCATCCGGTGTAAAGTTGTTTATATTGTTGCTGAATATAAAGCTTGGTTTTGTTACAAACACTGCGCCAGCCATGCAGAAAACTGCACATACACGATCAAACCATCCAAAAGGCTCTCCAAGCAATATGGCCGCAAGAATAGCTGTAAACATCGGATGCAAGTTGATAATCACTGTGTAGTGTAGTGTTTAGAATACAGTGTAGCCTCGCAATCTGGAAAAATGAAAGTTCTGGTTTCTCTTGTTTAATCTCACCTGTTGCATCTGCGAGGGGTAGCTTTGTTATCGAGTAATAGTGTAATGCCAGAGCAATTGCTCCTATGAGTCCTCGAAATAAGACCCATTTTCGTACCTCGGAAGGGCCGAGCGGATGGATGCCTAGTAAGAAACACCCCGCTAAGGCCGAGCTTGCTTGCACAATGGCACGGACAAAGACAATTTCTGTCGACGGAAACGAGGCGGCACCGATTTTTGCAAATAATCCTGCCGTCGACATGCCCAGTGCCGATATCGTTATGAGAATCAAGCCGGCAACTTCTTGTTTTGTCTTCGCCACAGGAGTTGTCTGATTTTGTTGTAGTAGTAAGGGTGCTGTTTCATTCTCTGCTGGCAGTTGTTGGATATCTATTTTTTGGTGTATCATGTTGCCAAACAACAGATTGATAAAGCGGAAAGGAAGAGAGAAGGGAAAGAAATGTAATGGAGCAACACAGATATGCATATTGATCCACAGGATTTGCAATTCTGTACAACAAAGAAGCAGCCAGGTGACCTGGATCATCAGTTCCCTCCGCTCGTTCTTCCAAGATATACAAGGATTAGGCCGCTTTTTCCTATGCTGAAGATATTTATATTGAGAGACATGCTTCTAAAAGATTATACTAGGCTAGTTGCCGGAATGGAGTCCGATGATGTGGTTGGTTAACGCTCTTCTAGCCGCGCTTTTATTCTCAGATAAACAATAAAAGAAAATTCATTCTACAATCTAGTACTTTAGTTCTTTCTAAGCTATGTATTACAATTTTTTTGTCTAAGTATATGATATTATGGGAAGGGCCAAATCAAGCGTTGATACCAAGGGCGGGTCCCCACCACATCATCGGACTCCATTCCGGCAACTAGCCTATTGGTTGTCGTTCCTAACCCAATCGTGGTTGCCTCCATTCCGTCCTCAGATGTGGTTGGTGTGTTCTCCGTGGACGAAAAAATTGTCGTAACTACTTGTCTGCCACGTGCATGTTGGTCGCGAGGGCGATAATAATAATGTTCAAACGTCTCGCTCTTCTTGCTCCAATGGCCATGTTCCTTGATCATATCAACGTCTATGCCTTTTTCAGCAGCCTTTGTACTCGCCGCCGAACGCGTGGAATGTGCCTTAAAAATGGTAGTATCAATGCCTGCCTCGGCCATGACCTTAGTAACCCAGTTCGCAACGGTTACAGGACTTGCTACTCTTGGAGTCTTGTAAATGTTGGCTAAAAAGAGTGTTTGATCTGTAGGTAAATTGCAGCGCAACGGTTGTGATTTCTTCATCCAAGTGTGTAAGGTGCGGACAGGGCATATGGATTGGTCTGCAATGACACCAATTTTTGAATCTTTGACTTGGCTCTCTTTTGGTTCTCGAGCAATGAGGGTCATGCCAATACATTCTCCGTTGTCATATTGTATATGCACGTCTCGTAGTTGCAAGCGTCCAATGTCCGATCTTGTGCGCCACATGGTTGCCAAACACAGTAACATGATGGTTTTCTTTTGGAGTTTGTCCATCGGCAGTTGCTCCGTTGGGCCCCATTCCTTCAGTAAGGTTATCACCTTGTCCGTATCCCAAATTTCTTGACTAATATTAGGCATCTTGAATGTTGTGCGTCTTTTAGCAGCAAAGAACCGTTTGACGTCTGGGTGCTCAGCAATGGGCTGTCGCCATGGATGTGTGACGCCAAACACTGACGCAATCGATGATCGCATTCCATTGAGGGAATCATATCCTAAGTCTACGTTGGCTTCCAGGAACTCTACCAGCATCTTGGGATTATATTGTTCCGGGTCTTGAATAGGAACCTGATCACGACACCATTTGGCATAACGAATCCAATAATGATTGTATTTCCTTCTTGTTGATGAACGGGTGGCTTTTGTTAAAAATTTTGTCGTTTCCTTGCTATAGCCTTCTTTGTGCCATGTGCGTTCAATAATCGCCATGCGACTAGGTTGATTCGTTGGTTGATCGGCATTATTAATGGTGGGTCCCGTACTTGGTTCAAAATCATCGGCCACCAAAACTGGGTTGGCCACATCGGAGTGACCAACACGGCTTGTTGCACTCGATCTTGATTGAATTTGCGGATGACTTTCGGAATCAGTTGCCATGGTGGATGAAGGTACAATCCGCGTTTCGGCCATGGTTGTTGGAAAGCGTCTACTGCTGCTTGATTGCCATCCGGTTGTCTCGCCCAATACGTCGGAAGTCGATTGTTGTGCCTCCCTGCAAAAGCGTCGATCGTTAGCGGTCCCCATTGCTGTAGAATCTTGTAGAATTTGTTGTACGGCAACGTCCATTCGTAAATTGGTTTGCGCTGTCTGCTGAGCCGATCCGCCGCCACGTTCTTGACGCCCGCAATATGAGAGAATCTGACTGTGAGGTTGTAATCGAGACATATATCTTGAATGTCTAAGGCGAGTTGCTGCAGTGATATGGATGCCGTACCGCCTGCCTTGCTTGCATATTTTAGCGCTGTTATGTTGTCGGTGTAGATGTGTATTGTTGAGTTTGCAAACCGTTTTGCATGGATCTCCAACGCTATCTTGATCGTTGCTAGTTCTCGAACATTTATCGATTCGGATTCTTCGTCGGTGCGCCAATATCCTGCGAATTCGCCTAGTTCGGATGCTATTCCCCACCCAGACGCCGCCGCATCTGTATGGATGGTTACTGCCGGTAATTCTGGTGGTGGTCGATGGATAGGTAAGCCATTCCGGCTCTCTGCGAGGGTGAGCCACCAATTCAAATCCTGTATTGCCAGTGTGGTTAATTGGCATGGAGCCTCCCACCCTTGTCGTGTCTGTTGCAATGTTGTGGTCAATGCACGCTGTATGTGTCGTATATGGAGTAGGGCATCGCCAATTGCTGGAATCATCGCTGTCATCTTGCCAAGTAATCCGGCGATCCATCGGCACGAGAACACTTGGTTTTTGGCTTGCTTGATGCGTCGCACCAGCTTGTTCAGTTTGTGTGTTGGCACTTGGATAAGTCCCGTGATCGTGTTGAATTGAAAACCCAAGAATTCTTGTACTTGTTTCGGTTTGAGGTCGCTCTTCTTATGGTTGATGATGAAACCCAAGGACGTGAGATGGTTGATCATTTTCTCGCAATCTTGTTTCAAGCTGGTTGCCGATTGATTCAATAGACACACGTCGTCGATGTAGTAGCAAAATCGCATCCCCTGGCGTCTGAGTGGTTCTAGGGCATATCGAAGTAGTTTCGACCACACTCGTGGCGCCATGCTTGCCCCAAAGGGGAGCGACCTGTACCGCATCACTACACCATCTTTGGTCTCGAATGTCAAAAAGTCTCGCGAATCGGGGTGGATCGGAACCACCGTGTACGCATCTCTCATATCGATTTTGCAGATAAAATCCTTGGCTTCGATCAAATCCCGTAGGGCTGGCAAACCTTCCATCCGAAATTTCTGATACTGGATGAATCGGTTTATCTTGCGGCCATCGAAAATCGGTCGAATCTTCGTAGGTTCTTGGATGGTAAACAATGTCGACAAAAACCGGCGGTCTTGGGTAGGTGATCTCTCTATCACTTGTGCTACTTGAAACTGTGCCACGGCCTGGTCGATCCTGGTCTGTGCTGCCGCATCCTGTTGTAACGTCTTAGTTTGTGTAAGAGTTACGAATCCCGTTTAATAGGATGGATAGTATAAGAAAAGCTGATAAATGTGGATGAAATGCTAAGTATTAAGCAAAAGAGATGAAATAGAAGTGTGGGAGTTCAACAACCAGGAATTATTACGTCTGGAGCCACAAAAGACAATCCTTTTGATAGGAAAGGGAAAAGCTAAGTTAAGAGAAAGAGAAGCTAAAGAACTGAACTGTTTATTATTCAATACAAAATATTGGTCTATTTATACTAATTCTAATACACTATCTATATCTAATCTAATTGGTGCCTGATCCAATGGATACCGCAGTAGTGCGAAATGGTTTTGCACCTGGTGTGAGTTGGTTTTGCACTCGCAGTAAGAGTGGTGTTGCGCAGTAAGCGTATTGTTGCGGGTGTGAGATAAATTTGCACTCATAGTTACACCAAGTCTGTGATGAAAATGATAGAGAGTAAACTGACAGATAGTGATACAAGTAGATTACAAAGTCAATACTAAGGGGAAGAGCCCGTTTATTGATACGAATGTATTGGGGACAACAAGGTAGGTTACATATCCTGGGCCCCTTAAGGACGCACGTCCCGGGCGAAAGCAAACGTATTTGTAGATGACAAGGTATTGTAGTAACTATGTATAAGAGCGTGGAGCTTGGAATCACCGGTGATGTAGGTGTCGTGTATGTGTTGTTTAAGATACACGCGGATAGCTCCTTGGCGTTCTAGTTCGCTCGGAATTCTTGACAGTACTATGGCTAGACGGTGTGCGATACGATTTGCTAGTAAGCGGCGGTTGGCGTCGAGATCCTCCTTTAGCTGTTGTTGCCAGAGGTGTAGTGACACGCAATCTTGCGTGAGATCGTAGTAAAGGCCCATCTCGGCTCGGCGGTTCCGAGCTTCTGGATCCAATGCGGGTGGTACAAATTCCGGGTCGACTGAACGATACTCGACTCGTCCATTATTGTTGAGAACCAGGCGAGGACCAGGCGCGTCGGCATTGCTTCCCCAGGGCGAGGGATATTGCTGCAGAGCCGGTTGTTGGGTATTGTTTGTTGTATCTGGTGTCGTGTCGAGTGAGTGCGGTGTAGCTTCGTCGTGGACCCAGGCAGGGGTGCTGTTAACCGAGATCGCATCCGGGAACATGCCCGAAAAGTCCGGAGTTGTAGGTTCGTAGGGTGACGAAAAGAGGGACATGTTAAGGCTGTTTAATGTGGTCTAGGTATTGTATTTTCTTTGGTTTCATTCACAGATTCCGGTGTATTTATACTTTAGATTAATAGTGGCCCGAATGAAGTGTGAAGTGATTTTGCACCTTCATGGTAGTGATGTGTGAAGTGATTTTGCACCTTCATGGTAGTGGTGTGTGAAATGTTTTTACACTTGTCGGGTTATCGAGGTGTGAAAGGATTGTGCACCTTCATAATAGCGAGGTGTGAAAAGATTGTACACCTTCGTGCACTTGCGGGGTTGGAGCGGCTCGATGTATTTGTGCCACCAGCTTCAAATAAGCTTTGTGGGGTACTTTGACAGGTTGTTATGGCTTGATAACTTGTTGATCAAATGACGAGTTTGAGAGTGTATATGATGTTAATTTTATTTTTATTTTTATTTTTTATTTTTATTTTTATTTTTTGCCTTGTTTTGTTTTGTGTTATTGATTATCTTCTATTATATGTATAGTGATGTTGACGACTATGATATAAAGAGGTGGGGCGATGGCTCGTTGTTGAGTTTTCGTCGTTTGTTGGGATTTGTGTCGTCTTCTGGAAAATGCTTGTTCAGCAG